CAAATATTCTGGCGTGGTTTAGAAAACTCTGTCAAGATGTATCTGGATGGGTTCTGCTGGCACAAGGTTTGGTGACTCAATATTTTTTCTTAATCTTTTTGTTCCGCCTCTGATTGGGTTCTCTTTGTAGCCAGATTCAATGTTAGAGAAGCATGACTAAGTCTTTTAGCTTTGTGGTATTCATTGTGTAAATTCAGTTGGCTGAAATTGCTGGAGACAATTTATTTCTTAGAAGGTTAAAATATTCTGTGCCATAATGGAAAGATTTGCTGAGCAGATTCATCCCACTGAAATATAAACATTTCAGTATTTGATCATAGCAATATAACCCTTCATCTGATAACAAATCACAACAGACTGGCCTATCCTCTTTTTCTAAAACTATCTGGGCTCTGTAGGGGTTCTTCTGAAATCACTTAAATGCTGTTTCAACTATTGCCCCCCAATCAGTGTTAAAAGAAAAGAGATCTATAAAAGGTCACATGAGAAAGCCTTCCCTGTGCACGGAACTCCTTCCTGAGATAGCAGTGCTAATGCCTGGTCTTTCCAATCACTGGATAGACGAGTGCTTAAAACAGCTTGGTTTTCATAGCAGCTATTGGCTAGAGAGCCATAGGAGATGCACATCCCAGATGGTGAGAGCTCCTGTATGAGCTGTCTAATAGAACCCTTCTTATTTGTATTTTCTCATTTTTACTGAAATTAGGTTATTCACCGTTTCTGTTTTTCTTAAAGCATTATATAAGTACTTGACATAATGCTGTACATTTGTGTTAGGATGCTCATAGATCATCCCTGAGTTTAAATCAGTTAAAATATCCCCTCAGGTTGCAGATTTTCTGTAGAGAGAGGTTTCTAGAACAGACTTTCTTAAAATGGATAATTCTAATAGGTTTCTGCTAACCAGATCAAGCTGTGTTGTGTTTTGGCAAAAAACAGACTCATTCAGATGAGTGACAAGTTATTTTTCTAGAGTACAAGCAGCCATTTGCTTCTGCTTTGAGAAATGTTCTCACAATAAAAGGAAGATATTTAGCACATGAACAGCATTCAATTTGCTCAGTATTGCTTCATTTTAGTAGGTTTAGTTGAAAAGGACTCCATGGGGTACAAGGAATCATCAAATCCACTTTAATTATTTTCATTCTCTGGAATACATTTTCACTGAGTAACAAGGATGACTCATTTGGCTTATCTAAGGTTTTACAGTCTACCTTGTGGATACTAAGCATTGCATGGAGCTCTGCTCAGATATGCAATTATTTTTTTGATTTATGTGAGTCCTTAAGCTCTCTTTGAACTGTGAGTCATTAATTTAGTAGTGAAAGATAATGATTAAGCAAGTGGTATTTTGACATCATAGGTGGGAAGAGGTTCTGAGTGTTAAAATGAGGTTAGGTGAATGGTCTGAGAAACTGAATTCTTTCAACACACTGGAGGTGTCATCTGAAAAAAAAAGTTATTTCACTTAGCTCAGATCCTGCCTGGTATTCTTTCAAAATGATTGCTTGTAATATGCTTTTGTCAATGAAATGACAATGACAGAGTCAGAAGTATTTAATAGTATATGTAAAGAAGTCTTCTTTAGAAAAACAAATTATGACACATGCAGCTTTTGTGCTCTAGTCAGTCTTAAAAGTTGTTTGTGAAGGACTCATAAGACTGACAGCAGATTGTAATAAGTCAAGATCAGTTTTTTCCTGTGCTTTTATTATTTTGCTCAGGGAAATACATCTGAATAGTAATTACCAGCTTGGTTGTGTAATCCATAGAGCCTCTTGACTGATGACTATCCTGCTTCAAATTAACTTGAACTGTGTCAGCAACTAAGGGATTTTACTTATTTGGTTCTTCTAGGAGCTATTATATTTCTTTTAGGAAATGTTAAATGAGTCTGAGGCATATGTGATGGTCTGGATTTCTCACAATTTCACAAACAAGAGGGAAGACAAGGCTTTAGAAAGCTCACTCTGGGTATGAGAGAGCTATACTGTGAAGTGGGCTGACCACTGTTCATAGCGAGCAATGTTACTGCTGCCAGGTAGTAATAAAGCTGTGAAAGTTTATAATCTAATTTATCTTTTTGGAAGGTTTTCTGATTATAATTTGGCAGCCACAATTGTTCTGTATCTTGAAAAAGAGGTATTTCAAAGAAAGATAGCACAAAGACTCTGGCTTTAAATGTTTCCCTAACTTTTAAGACCTATCTCCTACCTCAGTGGCTCTGACATCTGTCAGTAATGTAGGGTCACTTACAAGCACTCATGCAGTGTTTGGGTGGCTCCAAATACATGCCCTTTGCACCAGACAGCTAAATCTCTGTGTGGTTCTACTGCCACCATATGAGATCAAATACTGCATCACCAAAGCCTTTCTTCACTTCACCAGTGTGACCCCTGCTGTGTGAGGAATGCTAAGTTTCCTCTTGCTTTAGAGGAAAAGAGGCCCTGCCTAACTAAGTTTGTCCATCCAAGTTTCCATGGTTTCTCACATAAGAAAAAGATCATCACTTGTGGGATGAAGTATAGCTAATTTGTGACAAATCCACTTCATAGTATCTGAAAAACTTCCTTCTGTATTCCTACCCAGTTTTCGTCTTGAGGTTTTTGTTTGTTTGGTTTTTTTTCAGTTGAGGCTCTGTAGATTTTTAACTGTTTATGCCAGGTGCCTGCATAACTCACAGGACCACAGATGAAGTAAATATGGATGTGTAATAAATTTAATTTCTTTTATCTACTGTGCATGGATTGATCTATGTTCTGTCTTTAGGATTGGTTTTCATTTCCTCCTGTATAAAGCATATTTTGCATTTCTGCATGAAATGATATTTGCTTTCTTTGTATTGCCAAATGTAGTGCACTCATTCTGTCTTTGTTTTATTTGTGTGGCCTCTTTCCATAGTCGTGAAATGTATTCCTGTTAAGTAGTTTTTGTTAAACTTCTCATGGCTCACATAAGAAAATCTGTCCTTCCTGCCCACTCTATTTCATCAAGTCTCTTCATTCCTGTATTCTGTATCTACAAAATAGGAATAATTATTATGCATTGCTTTTGACTGGTAAAATGCTTTAAAATTCTCAGGAAGAATGGGGTTTATTAATCTAAGCACTTTTTCTTCTTCCATGAACACTAAATCAGCAACTGCCGTTGAGCTGGGTTACTATATATACACTTTTCAGGAATCCTTCCAGAATCCCTCCATTTCCCCTCTATTGTGTTTCAAGAAATGTGCAACTTATCTACATTAGGCCAGCAAGAGGCATCACTTTCTGTCATTTAACATTGATTGTGAAAAAGAAAAACTTCATGAAAATTTTTGTCTCTGAAGGAAATTACTGTGGTATTTCTACCAAAGTCTTTCTTTCAGATCACTGATTTGTGTGCCTAGCTCTGAGTGACTTTTTTTTGTTGGAATAACTAGTAGCTCCTAGTGTGCCCACAGTGTGTGGTAATTTTTAAGTCTTGTTCTTAATATGTCCTTGATTTTCTGCTGTGGCTCTGTTGTCAGTGGGTCTTTCCAGAAGTCTTCTATGATTGGCTTATGAGCTAGTGACCGGTCTTACTTTGAGTACAAAATATACAAAGCAAAACTCATCTTAATAATTATGTATCCTCCTTTGTGTATGTTAAGGTCATTAGATTTATTTGTGTTGCAGAAGCAGTATTGTTTTGGAAGGGTTTTTAAATGTATATGTTTTGGTTTTTCTCCCTGTTATGTGACTTGGAAAAGATCTGAACTTTAAGGCATTTCTTTTTCTGTTCCTTGCTTTTGTTTGCGTGAAACAATGGCTTGGCATGTAATGGTCTGGATTCTGATTTGACTTTTCTTTATTCAGAGAAGCATTTTAGTGGCCACATTTCGGTAAGAAGTGAAATTTTCTAAGCTAGGCAAGAATCTATGGAAGCTCAAAGCTAATGGTGGTGTTTGCATTAGACAAGACACAGTTCAGTGAGATGCAGTGTGCACCTTCATTGTCTCAATGTTAGCAAGCAAAATTGACACCATATGTGCCCAACTGTAATTGCTCCATGAGGAGAAAAGAGAAACATGTCAGAACATTTGAGTAACACCTAATTCAGCCCATGGTTATAAATAAAGCTGATGGTTGCTTAAAAACAAAAGTAAGAAAATATTATGGTTATATTATTCCTCAACAGCACTTCCTACATAGGTGAACTTTATTACAGAGACAACACAAGTGAAAAGAAACATATAACAACTTTTTAACAGTATTTTTATGTTATTTTATTTTTTTCACAGTAAATAAAGTGGTTATGAGGCTCCAAGGAAAACGGCCCAGATGTTAGTGAGTTGTATGAAATTTAGTGGAAACAAGCTGTAAAAAACATAGTCATAAAACAGCCTGTCAATGCCACACATCTGGACAATGCAGCTGTATGTTCCCGCTGCTGTCATCACCCTAAGAAAATTCAATAGCCTTATTTCACCCCAATTAGGCTGCATACCAACAGAATCAGAATTACACAGGGAGGGGGTGTGTTTTCACCAAGACAGACCCTCTCAAATTCCCTTCAAGAAGTTTTTATCTTTCATTTAGGGCTAGTCCCTCATACACTGGTCACTTTGTAAACAGTCCTGGAAACTATTCCCCTTGATTTGCTATCTGTTAGGTGCTTTTTAATTTATTGCTTTATGATATGTAGTTGCTTCATGTTGTTTCTTTGTTTAAAACCTAAAGAAAATTACATTTTCCTGTGAGAACTCTGTGTCTGTTGACTTTCACATAAATTATAGAAGGTTTTTTCCATTCTATTTTTATCGCATACTATAGCTGATATAACTTTATTTGAGGTCTTTGGAACCAAAGAACAGTGGTGTATCTTACTGATACATTGTTTCTTCTGGAAATATGGCCATTTTGACCCACACATGGTACAATGTGAGATAGCACTTCGTCATTTCAGCATGTAAATAAATATGAGTGCAGTATTAAAAATATGCAGGTAGTAGTTTTGTTGTGATTTTTTTTCCTTTTCAGGTGATGGAATTAGCTAAATCCTTTCTGGACCGTGATGAAAAAATTCCTGTAACTCTAACTGGAAAGCTGTTGAAATTTCAATTGCTATGTCTCAAACAGAAGGATCTTCAGAGAAGACAAGAGGAAAAGAAGGTACTATAGTATGCCCTAGGAACATTACATTTTTGAAGACACTTCTGTTCTATGGTGTTTCTTCCATAAATTCAGCTTTCTTCTCTTCTTTGGCTTTCTAGAACTGTAATTTAAGAAAAATGTGATTAGGAATATTTTTAAAGTTGATTAGATATATGTGGGGCGGGGGGGGTGGGGGGGGTGGTGGAGAAGAAAATAAAAACACTATGCAAGAAGTCTTTGCTAGAATGAGAAATAGTCATGGCTTTGCTGAGTGTTACGACCAAAAGAAAACAGAGCTGGGGACAGACTTCTACTGAATGTATCCCTGCAGAAGGAAAGGTGTAATACTCAAATTGTATTGGGAGAGGTTGTTACCTGGGACGTATCAAGGATAGACACAGAGCAGACTATGATGGAGTTCTTGTTATGAGTCTGCTCTCTGGAGGGAATTTAGAGAAGTTATCTCTTCCCTACTCCAGCACTAAGGCAGGATAACATTTACATAAGCTATTCCTGGCAGATGTTTGTTGAACCTTTTCTTAAAACTTTCCAGTGCTGTGTCTTTGCTTTTCCATGGCAACCAATACTATTCCTGAGCCATCTCAGCAACGTGCACATTTTAAGAAGGTTTCTGATCCTACCAACCCTACTCTCATTTAAATCTGTTTGAGTTCTCCCAGTGTATGGGGACAACATTACACTCCATTCTACAGAAATCTATTACATTTTTAACTAAACAAACCCAAATATGTGCTATGGTTGTTCATTTTTGATTATGCATGTTCCTGTCCTCTGAACTCTCTCAAAACAGTACATATTTTGAAGTCCACTTCTCTGAACCAGGTACCACATTTTCCAGTATTCCCAAAACTTGCTTCCATTTGTCTCCAAGGTTGTCACTACCAGCTCCAAGATTGTCTCAGGCGGTTTGTTTATGTGTTCTAGGAGGAATTTCACCAAGCTTGCACAGAATCACAAATCAGACCTCTAATTAATTTCTAACATCTTTTGGAGTTGTCAGTGGTACATTTCAACAACTTACTGAACAGTTGGTTTTGCTATAGTCCTTTTGCAACGAACATTCATGAAACTGAAGAAAGTCAGTTAATTATCAGAAAGTCATACAATTGCTGCAGATAAGTTTACCCTGTTAATTGATCAAAAACTATAATGTAGAGTGTGATGATATGGAGACCTAAGCAGTCTGTGCATGTAAAAGATGTAAGCAGAAAATAGTTTAATGGACTTCGTATAGCTGAAAAGTCTGTAAATTTCTTTATCAATAATTTTATTTGTGGGAGTAGTTGGTGGATGAAGTGTATCACACAATGACAAGAACATTAAATGCTAGGGGATTCCATTAAAATTGTGTCCTATTTCCACAGAAGTCAATTTATTCAGAAATTATAATTTAAACCACAGAAATATATGAAGAATATGAGAAAAATAATGTGTTTTCAATCTGAAAAGAAATCGAGAGGCTGAAGCTATAGAATAGATTGTTAACAGTGAATTGAAAAAAAAATGGCTTTTTTCTTAGATAGCAGTCAACTCTTGTAAGTAAACTGTCAAACAAAACATTGTTGTTTAATGGCAATTTAATATTAAAATGGAATCTTTAGAGCTTTGATTTAGCAAAATTAGTCTTGTAACTGTAATTTTATTTTCACAGTTAATTGGAGGATAGTCAATGTTGAAGGTTGAAGAGTCTCTGGCACTTACAGTTACTTCTCTGTTTTAGCCAAACTGTCTGCAAAAGTTGTCACCTCCTTTGAATTTTGTCTATATCAATGTGTGACAGGCAAACACAAGTGGAGCCGTTGAAGGACAGAATCAAGAACTGGAAGGCTCTTGGATATGAGGATGCTCTGTAATACAGAGTGGGCAGAAACTGACTTCTAATTTAGAGTTCTATCTCTAGATTGGCTGCCATAGAATTTTTAATCCTTTCCAACCAGCTTGTACAATACAAGTTCTGTTGCCAACAATCTGGGTGTTGAAAACAGGATTTTACTCACAAATCAGTTCTCAGAAAGAAAACGTATCTGTCCTTGGGTCTTTTTCTTGAATAGATACCAGTTAATAGAATGGATCAGCAGAACTAATACAACATGTAAATAACAAAAAATAAGGCATTAGGAAATTTCTGTATTTCATTAGGAGCAGGAGCTTGTCATAAGCTGACAGGCATAAATATTATGCAGAAAAGAAGTGTCTCTGAATTAGAAAACTGTTTGAGGTATTAAAATTTTGAAATGTGAAGCTTAAAATAACAAAATTGCAGAAGTTCATGAATTATTAGAAACTCCACAAAAAGCTGCACCTTGTAGGGAAGGAGAAATATGACATTGAAAGGAAAAGGAAATAGTCCAAGAAAAGAGAGGCTTTTACTTTCTAAAGTATTTAGGTCAAGTAATGTTCTTCATTAGAATCTTGGCAAGTCCAGAAATGTCTCTGCTTATTTAAGAATTACTTAAAATTATGCAGATGCAATAGATCAAGTTGATTGTGAACTTTGTGGCATGATGATTGTATCATCTATTTGATGTGTTTATCAGCTTAGAATTCAAAGAAGTACTATCAAAATTTCTAATTTGAAATGTCAAAGGTGGAACAAATTCGAAAGAAAATAATGAAAGCCTCCAAATCCTTCATTAGAAAGTGGAAATAGTTTCAAGATTCTGTCAAAGACATTTCTAAATTTTACAGAAAGGAAATTCAAGAAGGAAGGGAAAAGCAGGAAAAGATCTTCTGTTTTGATTTTGAATTTGAACTAAATACAACTTCCACAGCTGGAAAGTCTGCTTTTTAGCTGGATCTAGGGAAAGCAGCTATATAGAGTTCATTGCCTTCTTTAATTTGCAGTAAGGGCTTTTCTAATTGTTTTAATAGCCTTTAAAGTGACATCAGCAGGATTGTAACTGTAGGTTAATATTTTTATTTTAATTAATTTAGCTTTATAATCCTGAAATGTGATTTTTGCATAGTTTTAAATGTAGTATTTCTGATGGGTGAAAATAAGGTTGACACTTTCTTGCTCTACAGAACCTACTTTACCCTATTTTTTTTTTTATTGTTTTCATTTCAAACGGAATCTCAATTTTTTGGATTTATAGTGTGAGGCTTTGGGACACTTACAAAATTTTTTTCATCCTGTACTCTTAAATTACTAGGAAGAGCTTTATGTAGGTGTTTTTGTTTGAAGGTAATGAGAATGGTTGAGTAATATCCTGTGTGAAATAAACGCAGGACGCTTGGTTCTAGTTTACATTAGACAGATATTTACATCAAAGAAAAATAGTGCTGGTACCATTTTACACCATAGTCAAGAGTGTTAACAGAGATGTTAAAGATATTAACAGATATTGAATTTTTGCCATATTTCCCCTCAGTCCGAGGAAGGTTTCTGGCTGATGCAAGTGCTGTAGGGGAAGTAAGTAAAGCACAGGATATTTTTTACTCATCTTTCTATCCATATGTGTTTTGTTAGTTTGGTAGATTTAATGTCTACCTATGTCCTGCAGTTCCTTTTTAATGTGAAGTCTTAGCATTATGACTGAGTAAGAGATATATAATATATATAAGTAAGATATATATAATATAAATAATTGAATATGGTTGAGTAGGAAAAAGCAGGGTGTTCAAGACAGCTCCACCACATGAATATTACAGCAGCTGAAAGGGAAAAGTGTGAAAATAAAAAAGTTGAACACCTAAAGTTTTACAACAGTCTGACCTTTGTTCTACACAAAGGTTTTAATGAGAACTTTATTTATTCATCTTGTCAGTCAGGACAGCAGCAAAAAGAGAAAGTAAAAGAAAAAGAAAAAGAGAAAATAAAAGAAAAAGAGAAAGTGAAAGAAAAAGAAAAGGAAAAAGCTAAACCTTCTGAGAAGACAAGTGGAAAAGATAGTAAAGGAAAAAAGTCAGTGGCACCAACCCCTGTTAAAAAGGACACCAAATTGAAACAACGGGGAGAAGAGGAAGTGAAAGACAAATACATTGGTATGTAAAACATGATGATATACTCCTGATAAACCTTTGGAATACTTTGTTTTGTTCCATGTTGAAAAGTCAAGTTCTATTTGTCAATATCAAAATTTTACCACTTTGCATTTGAAGAGGGCACTGTGTTCTGCTCAGTGTTAGGATGGATTGTGAAATCCAAGAAGTAAAATAGAGATAAACTATATGTGGCATGTTAACATCAAAATATTTGGGCATATGTATGACTTCAAGAAAGTAACCAAACAAATCCTACAGAAAACTTATCCTAGAGAAAGATTTCAGAATAATTAAATGTGTCAGTATCCAAAGGTGGCTTTCTCCTTATACTGTAGTTTAAAACATGGGTGAAAGAGTTGTCAACCCTGTCAGTGAAGAAATTTTTCATAACATCCAGTCTAAGCTTCCCCTCTTTATATTTGTTCTAATATAGCTGTATAAAGAAAGAGGGAAAAAAAAAAAAAAAAAAAAAAAAAAAAAAAAAAAAAAAAAAAAAAGAACATGCCTTAAATTCAAAGACCATCTATATCTGTTTCTGGTAGCTAGCAGTCATTTTATCGTTCAGCCCTAATACATTATTATCTTTCTGAAATTAAATATTTCTGCTTTTGAGTAATATTGAAATTACTTGCATTGTTGTTTTTCCTCTTTTGCATATGGACTAGTCACTAATAATTAGAGCTGACTGATTGTTATGCACTTGTCATGATTGTTAGCATAATCATATTTTCAAATGCCAGGCAGTCTTCAGCATATATGCATTGGAATTTTTGGATCTCTGTAAGTGACTGTGCAGACACCTGTCTTTTTTGTTAAAAATAATTAATGTTCAGTAATTGTATGTGCTTATACTTTTTCTTCCTGCAGTAACTGAGACATAAAATTATGTACTTCATTTTCAGTACTAGGAGTGAAATAATAAGCTAGTTTTCTTCTGGTTTTGATTTTTGCTTTATTCAATATATGTGCTGGATCATGGTGACTGCTTCCTCAGTCAGTCTATCTCTAAATTTCTGTGTTTTTTTATGTTTAGCTGATATTACAAGCAACAGAGAGCCTGCTGCTCCAGGTGATAGCAGCATTTGCACAGCCCTAGCCATATATCTGAGCACAGGCAGATGTCAATGCCAGGCTACCTTTTTTTCTTCCTTGGATAAATGGGTCCCACAAGCTGAGGAGTCAGTAAAGCACTTGGACATGTGATGTGTTAGTAAGCATAAGAAAGTATCTTAATGCTAAATAGAGTATAAAGCTATGATTTTAGTGTGGGTTTGCCTTTATGAAACACCTGTAGTGTTTCAGCATTGATGGAGAGATACAGGACCTCCAGCAGTTTCTGTTAATTTAGGATAAATAACTGTCTTGGATTAATTAAATACCTGATACCTGTCTTACTACCTGTATTTCTCCATAAGGCATAAAAGGAAGCCACACAACTCTAGAGCTTCTAGAGGGTTAATTTCTACTTATATCATTATTAACCTTTTGCTTTGGTACCGAAATGTTGCTATGCATATTTTTACATAATTGATAAGCCCAAATAGAACAGGTACTCAATGAAACTCCTCATCTGCATTTTAATATGAATTTGGATATGCCCCTGCCACCTAAAAGGACTAGTGTGAGTTGGTATTACCAGCTAATGGGGATTTTGCCAAGAATTACATCTAGTGAACATGAACCTGCTGGGTAGGGAGGAGTCAGCACTGAGTCAGCTTATACCTGTATGTTAATCCTTTGAAATTATTATGACTTGGGTAATCTTCCATGTAAGATACAGTAACTTTTTGTATGCTCCATGTCCAGCTTTATGCAAGATGAAATTGGATAGTTTAAACTACCATTAAAGCATGTGGATATGTCCTGACACTAAACTCCTTTGAGAGGAGCAATTACAGAAATGCTGCTACAACATTCTGATTATAATCAGCTTCTGCAGTGTTTCTCCTGGTCCTTCTCCAAACAGTTATTACTTCTGACTTGTATTCTTCCTGCTGTGTTCTAGGCAGTTTGGTTCAGAAGACCTGAGTCTTATGCACATAATTTTTGAATTTATATATAATTTTCCCAATGGGAGTATAAAATAACTGTTTCTCTGACCTTAATTTGCATTACCCCATAGAGTCAAGCAAAAAAATTATTTTGTTTAGCTGATGAATATTCTTACTCCAGTTTGTTTTTTGAACAGATGATGAACCAGATGATGGCGCTCATTATTACTTTATCATTCTGGGTTTCCCCAATCTTCAATTGTTGCCTGTCTTGACTGACCTTGGGATTAACATTTCAAGTGTAATTCAAATTTCTTCTGAGAATTACAAACCATTGGAGTTATACTTAGAAGCAACTAAACTTGAAAGACAATCTTCAATTTTACCTGAAGGTAATCTGGTCACTAAAAAAAATATGTAAAAATTAGATAATTTTATATCCATGGAATGACTGTTCTGGCTGTGTTTTTCTCCTTCTCCATGTCTTGTGTTTGTGCATGCCAGCTATGAGCAGCTGTGTTTGCCAGTGCCAAAGTAATATTGCCATTGGTTGGCCACCAAACCAAATAGTTTCCCAGTGTAAAAACTGGACAGTAGAAAGAGGGACTGGTTAAGCAGGCAGAGTTTCCAGCCACAGTAGCCACCAAAGAACATTTTATCAAATGCATACTTCTGTGAATTTTTAGGAAGTGTACTGGTAAGAAAACTTGGCTCATTTTGTAATTTCAGGGAAAGTGAACAGTTGGCTGCTTTGGGACTATGGCCCCAGCCACAGGAGAATATGCTACAGAATAATGCTCTGTAATTATATTCAGGTATCCCAAGGCTGTTGCCACCTTTCTTTAACTGGGATCCTAGTAAGCAACAAGCTAAATATGTGTCATCAGTGATGGCTGGCTATCTTGAGCTGTAGTGACATAGCCAGCAGATCAAGGCAGGTGGTTATTTCCTGCTATTTGGCTATCATGAGAATAGAATTATGGATTCTACAGTAAAAAAAAAAATACCAATAAACTCTATTCAATCTAGAAAACAGCCTCCCTATAAGGACTGGCTAAAGGTCTTTGAAAGAAGAAAAATGGGTTATGATAATGAATGGCCTTTGGAATTTTCAGGCGCCAGGGACAGGGTGAAAGTCTGGAGAAAGTCTGTTGGTGGAAAAGGATTGAGTTAGGGATTACTTAAACAAACTGGACACACATAAGTCCATGGGACCTGATGGGATTCACTCAGGCATACTGAGGGGCTGGCTGTGATGTCACTGCAAGGCCACTGTTAATTACTTTTGAAAAAACATGGCATTTGGGAAACGTGCCTGAAGACTGGAGGGAGGCATCACTCCTATCTTGAGAAATGGCAGGAATGACTCAGGAATGTAAAGGCCACTCAGACTCTTCTCAGACTCTGGGAAGATGACAGAACAGCTAATCCTGGAAATATTTCCAGGCACATAAAGGACAAGGAGTTGGTAATTTGGCATGTATTTGCCAATGGAAGTCATTCTTAACCAACCTGATAACCTATGACAAAATGACTGCCTTGGTAGAGGAGGAGGAAGCAGTGGATATTGTCTGCCCTGACTCAGTAAGACCTTTGGCACTGTCTTCTCATAAAGAAGCTGGCTAAGCAAATACTGGGTTGAATTGAAAACTGGCTGAATGTCCTGGCCTAGAGGGTATCCGAGGGGGTTTGTGGTATGAGTCCAGCTGAACATCTTTGTTAGTGATCAGGATAGTTCTCTCAGCAAGTACTCTTATGATACAAAACTAGGAGGAATGGCTGAAACACCACAGAATTGTGCTGGTTTTCAGAGGGACTTCAACAGGATGGAGAAATGGTCTGGCAGGACCTCATAAAATTTAGGAAGGGCTAAATCCTGCACTAGTTCATGGTGGGGGCTGTCTGGCTGGAAAGCAGCTCTGCACAGAAGGACTCAGGGGTGGTGGCACTAAGCTGAATGTGAGCCAGCCCTGTGCCTTTGTAGCAAACAAAGCTAGTGCTATCCAAAGCTGCATCAAGTCAAGGGATTCGAACTTCCTTTTGTACTCATCACTGGTCAGAGGTCTGTGTCCAGTTCTGGACTCCTCAGTACGGGAGAGATATGGAGCTATCAGAGAGAGTCCATCAAACGACAGCAAGTGTGTTCAAAAGACTGGAGCATCTCTCATATGAGGAGAGACTGAGAGAGCTGGGGATGTTTACTCTGGAGAAGAAAGAGCCTGGAGGGAACTCATCAATGTGTATAAATGCCTGAAAGGAATGTGCAAAGAAATGGAAGCCAGGCTCTTTTCAGTGGTGTTCAGTGACAGGACAAGAGGCAATGGCAAAACTGAAACACAGGGTGTTACCTGAAGACAAAGAAACCTTTTTTTACTGTGAGGGTGATAACACTGTTACAGATTGCCCAGAGAGGTCATGGAGTCTTCATTCTTGAAGGTACTCAAAAGCCATCTAGACATGGTCCTGGGCAGTCTGCTCTTGGTGACACTGCTTGAGCAGAGGATGAGACCCTCAGGTCCCTTTCAGGATCAATGATTGTACTTGGAATAGAAGATGATGGCAATATATAAGTGGGGGTATTTTTTAATCCCCAAGTTGGGTGTCAGATATTTGCTGAGACTCTGAGGATGGAAATACTTTAACAATACTTAGAGAAGACTGATGCATGATTTGTGCTTTATGTTAAAGGGAGACATTGTACATGATTTGTCAAATACTTATATATTTTAGATGTAGAAGCAGAGAAAAAAAAGGAAGATGAAGCTAAGAAAGACCTGGAAACATTTTGGAAGTTCCTGGATCCTGTTCTGAACAGTGGAAAGCATGGATCAAGTCTCTTTGATGTTGCCAGATTTCATTACCTAGTTAAGGAAAGTGACTTTCCCCCTGTTTGGTCAGACAGTGAAATGCTGGTCAGTACATTCTGGTTTTACAGTGCATTTACAAATGCTTTAGAATTTGTAACTTTTAAGAACACTTTAGGAATTTAATCGCAAGTCTTCTCTGAAACAAAACCACAGTAGTTAGTATATTCAAAATCTTATACAAAAATGATTTCCTATGTATCCAACAACTTCATTCAGCATCTGTTTGCAAGGAGTCCTTTGAATAAAAATGCCTGATTTGGAGTTTCTTAATACTGTAGGCCACAGCAGAAGAGTTGTAAAATAGTTTGAGGTTTTAAAGTTATTCAGCATCTTTATAGACCCAGTTTGCATCTCGTTCAAGAGTCATATGCGTGTATGAAATTACATAGAAGTTATGTTTTTGTCCTCATAACATCAGGCCTACTTTCTGCACTTCAGAATAGTCACATGAGGAAAAAATAGCTGAATGCAAGAATATTTTTTGATATATGATGTTGCTTTATCATACACAGTTCTGCTTCTTTTTGTCCAAAACATGAATTTAACTTATTATTCATTATAGCCTGCTGAGTCAGGACTATTACCAGGCACTGAAGGAGAAAGTGAATCATTAGAAATGTTTTCTATCCTAGATTCTCACATATAGTGGAGTAAAAGAGTCCAGTACTTCTCAATCTACAGTGTCAGCAGTAAAAAATACAAACTGCTAAAATGAAATAAGGCAACATGCTATAATTTAACGTATTGTATTTGTAGTCTGCATTATTAAGCTTAAAGGACTTTCCAGGGTTAAACTACATTCATTTAACCCTTATTTGTAGTACAGTAGATTCTGTATACATACAACTCCCTGTGGTTTCCAAAGCATTCACTGAAAATGCCTTAATTGTGGAATCATGTAGGCTTGCTATTTATGACATTACTTATCATTATACTCTTTATATTATCTTACAGTGCCAAGCCTCATTTGGGAAAACAGTTTATATCTTCTCTACAATCACATCTTACAGGGTTTCTACTTTTGAATATCTTGCAAGTGCCTATATTATAGTTGAAATTAAGGAAAAACCATCTGTCACTGAAACAGATTTTGACAGATTGGAGTTATAATTTCATGAGCCCCACAGAAGTAAGAAAGCTTGTTAGTTTTTTAAGGAACAGGTGAGGAGCATATAAGTTCTGAAATCATGGGTGGATAAAGTAAGTCCATTCTTCTGGACTTTCTGGGGAATCTCTAAGTCCAAACTTGCTACATCTCTGAAGTGCAAGACACACAGGAGGAAAATTCTTGGGGCAAAATGTTGGGCATTAATATAAAAATGACAGAGTATTGCATACTGCAAGTAGTCTCTGCTCTCAGATTTGAGATCTTTAGAATGGAAAATACTTTCAAGAATATTTACTCTGTTGAAGAGTCACTAATGGTTAGACTTGAAAAACTTTTGATAAACATCTATGTCCTGAGGAGAGATCAGGCAAATTGAATCACAAAATTGTAATTATGCTAAACTTTGCTTGGATCCCATTGAGTAGCAGGGTTTTGTTACTTATGAATTTGTAAAAAATCTTGTTTTGTTTAAAAGACTGCATTGAAAACATTCCAATATTTTATATAAAACTTTTATGGGCTCTAGTGTTACCTTACATATACAAATAAATGGATGAAAAGGTGTTATACTAACACCCATTCTTCAGAAGAATATTGAACTGGGAAAACAAAGGTGCAAGAATATTAATGAACATTTTGTTTTCGCAAATAGAATTTCTTTTCCAAGTGTCTCTTCTAGTCTTTAAATGTTATGAAAATGGAGTCAAGTATTCCATAACTTATCAGTGATTTGGATTGCCTGTTTCCCAGTGTCATAAAGAGGTTCTGAGTTGAGGAAAGCAGATGTTCAATAATTCTTAAGGATTTGTTATTATTCTTAGTGCCTAATGTCAGTTGTGCTTCTTCACTGTGTTCTATTTTAGGAAATTTAAAATTGAGAAATTCAATGTTGTTAGCCACTTCTTAGAGGCAAACTTCTTAGTACGAAAGACTTGCCCTAAATTCACAAAAGTGAAAGAATAACTCAGAAAAGGGCTTTTTTAATGGAAATCATTTAAAAGTTATAATAATTCCATCCTTTCCACAAAGTGCAGGATGTACAGGGGAAGAATACATCCATTAAAGCTGCTGAAACTTGAGTGTTTCAAGTGGTCTCCTACAGGGTATTGGTATTTGTACAAGAACATTTAGTATTTAAAATAGCAGTTGCTATTATTCTTTTTATTCCTCCCAAGCTTTGGTGAAAACCACAGTACATGACCTCAAGAACCATGACTCTTACCTTGTCAGATTTTTGCAGATACAGCGCTCTCCTTCTGGACATTTGGGCACTATTCTGACATTCCTTCACCCACAGCTGTGGATTTCAGAATGCCATTCTTGAGGCTTTCTTTGTTTTCAAAGGGCAACAGAAAGAAAGAAAATAATATGAGATTATATTAATTACATGGTTAGTGTTTTATTTTTTATCCTTCTAGAGCAGGGAAATTATTGACCTTGCAAATATGCTACAGGTTGGTCACTAGTAAATCATATATAAACTTTAATTTTCCTCTCCTATTCCTTCCCAGCCAAAAAAACCTCTTAAGTTCCAACTGCAAGATAGTAGATCTTGAACAGTTACTGTTAAGATGAGTTAGACTTTTTAACAACTACAGCATTTAGGCAATAAACTGTCCTTACTGTGCTGTGGCACTGTTAAGGCAAATAAAATGAAGGAGGTTTTAGAATAACTCTATAAAACATATTGAATTGGTGGAGGAAAAAGTCTTTTGGAAAATCTATGAACAGATGTACATCTGCTGGTTAAAGAGCTAATGACTGTTGTCACTAAGTTACATGACATTTTATATACACTCTTCATCCTTTGTCTCTGATTTTCTCTCATAGCTTGCATTTGGTTCTGTGCTGTTTGAATACATTGCTTGTTTGATGTATGACTGCCTGGACTGGAGAAGACAGTATTGTAACTACTTGGAAAACACCAAGTTAATTAATGTGCCTATGTTACCAGAGAGCAAATCAACACAACCACCTTCAGTTGAGGCAAGGACCCTTCTCTTCATGTTGAAAAGAACTACTTATAGGGTAGAATTTCCTGTCTTTAATTTTGACTCAAAAATTCCCCTTGGACCATCACTCTGTGAATAATTTTCAGTGGATGAAAGTTGTATTTTTGGTTTTAGCATTTAAAACTCAAAAAAATGGAAAAAAAAATAACTGAGCATTGAGGAAACAGAAAAAGGAAATTGGAAGGATCCTATAGGCATAAAGCATCAAGGTGTAGAAATTTCTTAGTGTCTGATGATACATTCTTGTGTCTGAAAACTCAACATGCCTGCACAGAGCTACTATGCAATGTTACAGATCTGTGAACTGTCAAAAAAAAAAATATTTGTTCTATGTAAAATCTATTTCCTTATTTTATTTGTAGTAGGCAAAAGGTTAAGTAGACAGAAGAAAGTAGTTTATTAGAACGTGTGCTACATTCTTATTATCTTGTTCCAGTTAAGTTTAGCATTTAGTCTAGGATGAGTAACCAAAGCTAAATGAAATTAAATTCTCCCACCTATTTGAGCAATACCCATTTGTTTTATGGTTTCTGATTTTTTTTATATTAACTTTCATTCACTTAGGAGCAACCAGCACCACGGATGTTACCTACAAAAAAAAAAGGGAAACCAGAAGAAATTCTGCCAACAGCAGTTTCGTCAGAGTGTATGTTTAAAGGGTTAAAGCATCTGTCTGCACCATTCATTCATCAGACAGCACAAATCCTCAAAATGATTTGTGCAGTTAGCTGAAGATGTTGTGCATCCTGGTGAACAAAATGTGGAAGTGTCTGAATGGTGATAACTAAGTTCTTTAGAAAATCCCATTTTCTATCTATTCCTAGACAAATTCAGATTTAAAAGATCTCAGTAATTTTGTTTGGTCTCTAACTTTGTTAGACTCTTTTAATAAATATTTTCTGAAGGTTCACAGAATCACAGAATACTCTGAGTTGGAAGGGACCTACAAGGATCACTGAGTCTGACTTAGCCCTGCATAGGACATCACAGCATGTGCCTTAAACCATTTTTCCAAATGCTTCTTGAACTGACAGGCTTAGTGCTTTCACCACTTTCCTGTGGAGCCTGTTCCAGTGCCCAACCACCCTCTGGGGAAAATTTCTCTAATACCCAACCTAAAAGTCCCCTTACTTAAGGTGAGGCCGCCCCAGTGCAGAGCAGAGCAGGACAGTCCCCTCCCTTGCCTGGCTGGCAATGCTGTGTCTGATGCACCCCAGGACACAGTTGGCCCTCCTGGCTGCCAGGGCATGACTGGCTCATAATCAATTTTCCATCAAACACGACCCCTGGGTTGCTTTCTGTGCTGCTGCTCTCCAGCATCTTATTCCCCAGTCTGTCTGTACGTCCAGGGTTGCCTCATCCCAGGCATGGAATCCAACACTTCTGCTTTTTAAGCTTCATTAGGTTGATAATTGCCCAGCCCTCTACTTTGTCGAGGTCTCTTTTCAGGACCTCCCTGCCTCTGGGAGAGTCAACAGCTCCTCCCAGTTTTGCATTATCTGCAGACTTGCAGAACTGACTTGGACTATAAATTGGCATTTCTGAACAAACATAATGTTTTATCTCTTAATACAGCAGAAGAAACTTCTATTCTGTTTTCTTCTGTGGACATGAGGTATTACAATGACTTGCTGAATCAAATTCCTGAGGAGTACTTCTCTGTACCTTTAATGCTGAGCTGCATGTTGGAACAGGTGGGAATGTTCTCTTTTTAATTTCTGTGGCTATTTTGGCCTAGACCTAATAGAATGAATTGTCAAAGATCAACAAGTCCATCTGTTTAAACCTAAAATATGAGACTGTGCATTGAGGCACTGAGCAAGGAGGTTCAATACAAAGTAGTCAAAACTCCAAGCTTTGATTTTCTTTCATATTGTGCACTTAACTTGTATATATATATATATATAGATAGATAGATAGATAGATAGATATAGATATAGATATAGATATAGATATAGATATAGATATAGATATAGATATAGATAGGTAGTGTTACTCCATAATTAATTTTTGAAGACTACAAATATAATCAAATGAGGAGAAAGGTGCAATTTCTTATCCAAGTCAATAATAAGTTTTTGTGTTTTTCAGGAGTGTTATTGATACTGAACTTTTGTTGGTTTACTCAGTTCAAAGGTCTTAGGTCAAGCTTAACATAAGAGCATCAATGCTAGTGCTAGGTAGATCTGATTTCTGTTGAATTCAGGCACAATCTATGATTTAGAAGTGACACAATATTTTTTGGAAATCCTTCTTTAAAGAGTAACATTTCAGCATCATTTTGGGGGTTTTTCTTTTTGTAACTTAGCCTGAAAATAGACTGGGTAAGAATACTCAAAGTCCAAAACCTAATAAACAATCAGGTTTTAATTACTTGTGTTCCTTAACACAGGATTTGTAACATTTCAAGTTGGAAATATTTTTCTTATCTTTTCAAAAGTAACTAATAGGGAAACATTTAATTCTGTTTTCCACAGTCCTTGCTTTGTGCAGGAACTTACTTGGAAAATTGTATTTTTGCTACTTTTAGAAAAAAATAGGTTTTTCTTCCCTCACAGAATGTATTGGTGTGTGCTTAGCTTACAGTAGGATTTGCCTGGTATTTCAGGTATAGTTAAGCAGCAGTCACACTGTGATGGAAGCTAACATATGCTGTATTTGCCAGGTTATTGCAAGTGAAGAAGACCTTCCACCACCAAGTCTGGTGGCACCAGAGTCTCAGGCAAATGAGCTGCATCGTGCCATTGCAGATCATATAATCTCTGTCCTTCCTTCTCTTTCACTTCCTATGAGTGAAAAAAAGGTTTGTGTTGTCTTTTGTTAATTTCCTAAAATGACAAATCTCATTATTGGGGTATAATGCTGCTTCCTTTTCTTTTTAAACAGAATCTGTATGACTACTTCTCTCCTAAATATGGTGAACAAGAGATTGTCACTCCCCAGTACCCCCTCTTATTTAACTACCATGATGCTCTGGCTCAGCGATTACACCTGCTGAAGGTACAGTGCAACTTATTTATATACAAATATTTCCAAAGTTCACAGGTAATAATGAATGCTCAATGCACTAGAAGGGGAGGAGTGGTGTTTTTACACAATAGGACAGCATATCTTATATATTTTTTCTACTGAGGTGGACACACCAACACATGTTTAGTTTACTTAAGAAGCAATGAGTTACTGTTGGAGGTCACCTCACAAACACAGAGCACAAACATACTGATGTCAGTGATTTATTTGCATTATTAATGAGAATGTTTAGCCTTTGGCATGGATGAGAGATATTACAGAACTGCTGATTTGCTTTTAAACACTGATGGTACTATGGAAAATGAGTTGCTAACTAGTTAACAGTGATTTAGCATGGAGAATTAGACTGAATGCTAAAATGCTGAGAAGTAGAAGAAAATACATAGCAGTTACTAATGAACACAACGAATGTATTCATGTTAGCAAAATAGTTGCAGCATAGCATGTAACCAAGTTCTAACAAATTCTTACAAAGGCAGAAAGGTTCAGAGACTGCATAGTTTGGGATTATTGCAAAGTAATAGTTCCCGACTTTCTGAATTAAAAAATCACTGTGAATATCTTGAATTTTTTCCAAAGACAAGGAGTAGTTTTACCATTAAACTTTAAAAATTCACCAAGGATAATAGAAGTGATAATACACCTCTAGATTTCACAGCTAAGGTGTGCGTGGCTTCATGGATTACAAATTATCAGGGGAATACTTTGACAACCTGTCATGGTTTGACACTGGCACAATGCCAGCGCCCCCATGAAAATGCAATCTCTCAATTGAATGCTGTGAAACGCAATCGAGAACAGAGCAAAGCAGGCCCAAGCTTAATAACAAGGAAAAAAAAAACTTTATTAAGCTACTACTACTATACTACTGTAAAAGGAAAAAGAATGGAAAAAAACACACACAAAGTTCGAAATGAAAACCTTCCAAAGCATTCCTCCTCCCACCACCCAACTTCAACAAACCACAGTGAGACACAAACTGGACCCCAATCAGGTTTCCACCCTCTAGACAATTGATACTTAGTCCATTGAGGGAGACAGGAGCCCCTCCTGTGCCACAGTCCCCTAAAGAAACACAGCTGCCACATCCTGTGCTTCTATGTCACACATGGCATCGTCCAGAGAAAAATGTTTGCCAATGGTGACCCTCTCCTTTCCATGCACAGTGCTCTCACCACCAATGCATGGATGGACAGACTGCTTTTAGGATTTTTCCTTTCCAGGATGCCCTGCGAAGAGGTGAAAAAAACAACAGTTCAGTTTTTCATTTTTTGGGACCACAGTCCCCCCCATTTCCCCCTGGGGCCGAGGGTCCAAGAACAGAGATCTTCTCTTCTTCTTCTCTGAAGACAGGGGGCACCACCACAAACCTCCATAACTTTTATCTGTTCACTCCACTTCTGTCTTTTTCCATGAAGCATGGTCTCTTTGGCTCACTAGCATCCTCCTAAAATACAGTCTCTCTTGGAGGAGAAGATCGGTTCAGTCAAAGTCTGTGGCTACCAAGAAAATGTCCAGCCAAAAGCCACTCCATCATCTCCTCCCACCTAGAATTTCTCCTTCTAACATCCCAGGGTTAGAAGGGTCCAAGCTGTCTCTCTTCCTCTCTTTCAAACCGAGGAGGAGAAAAATTTCACAAAGCTTTCATTTCTCAGGAAGGGTTAAAAGTCCCGACTCCCAGGATGGCTCACTGCCCAGGCTCCGGCTCCCACGGGCAGCTGGGCACCTTGCAGCCCCCCAGCTCTTCTCCTTTCCCGTGGTGTATTGCTGACAAAACTCTTAAGAGAGAGACTCGGGGCGGGGGGGAATGGAGACATCCCAGATTTCTCCACCCTTCCATCTGCAGGGGGTTCCAGTCCCTCCACCCATGGGCCTACCTCAGTCAGGCCATGGGCCTTCCCCTCCCCACCCAGCCACGGCCGGGCAGGGGAGGTCTGCACTGCGCGCTGAGTGGAACCAAAGAGAGCGAGTTCTCCTGGGAATTCTGCTTTTAACCCCTCTGTGTTCTCAGAGGCATGTCCACCTTCAATTGGTCAATATCCAAATTGACCTCTTCCTTCCAAGAAAATTCTTTTCCCATGTCAAACCACAACACAACCATTGATTAAAACTACTCAGAAACAATTCAAGTTTGGCACATTGGATGTATTCAAGCTGAAGGAAGGACTGAGTAATCAACGTAAGAGATGCTTTTAGCAGAGATACTCTTGATGTATTTTATATACTTGCTGAAAAGGAAATTCAGGATTTAGCACAATGTTTGAGGAAAGAGTAGAGGACAAACATTTGTAATAGGCAGTTGAAGACAAAGGTACCATAAGTGTGTAATACTAAAAAGCGTGAAAGATACCACGACGTCTGAAAAATAAATCCTTGGATATAGAGGGATGGATGCCTCTCTTCACAGACTGATCAATAAGTTTCTTGATTTCATTGCTATAAAAAGTAGCACAGACCATCTGAAAGATACATGGAAGGTGCCTGCTGCCAGTCTGAACAGATCAATACATATTTCTGTATTTTTAAGTCTAGCTAGCACAGGCCAATAACTTCTAACAAATGTCTGTTATTATGCTGTCAGTCATTCTCTTATGTGTCTAATATTTTTCTGCCTACAATGTCTGACACCATGATTCAAAACCACACTGTGGGCACATGTTCAAATATAAGTTGATGTCAAACAGGCTTAAGCACATGCCAATGTCTTCTGCTGTAGAAAGAAGACATTATTCTTTATTCAAACATAATTTTTGGAAAGTCAATAGTGGTAAAGTTTACTTTAACTCTGGTACTTTGATTTTTGTTCCAGGTCCAGGAGAACTTTAATCCAGAAAAGATTGAGCATGAAATGATGGATAAACTGCCTCTTACAGAACTTATCCATTTCACCCCTCCTTCAACTGAAAACAACACTAAACGCTTGGCCAGAGTTCACGAGTTCATGCATTATTTTACTACTGGTAAAATGATTTTCATTGATACAATTTCCATTCTTTTTATTTCTGGTTGATGATCCTCTCTAATAGCAGGAATTTTGCGGCAAGATTTTAAAGCTGCCAAATAAACCTTTGCAGAATTTCCCATTTTCACATTCTTGTTTATATATAATTATAGCCTACTATACAAGTTAAGCCTAACTTCAGACCTCAGTTTCATGGTTAGGAACAACTGTGAGTGTTAAATATTGCATAATTAAGAGCTGTAACTTATCTTGGAACTACTTTATTTATTTATATTTGCAAACATACAAACACTTACTAATTCTGAGGGGAAAAAACAGCAGTAAAAATTGCAATTTTGGTCCTAGAATGTAGAATGCATTTTGAGAGACACTGATGTAAACTGTGTTGATTTATCAACTCACTTTTGGAGGTAAAGCACATGTATCTTAAGTAGACAATTTTTATGGAACAATACATGGCTTTCAGAATGTATTCTGAAATACATCGTATATTTCATACAATGTTCACAATACATTGTGGATGGTGTTATTCATGTGTAAGCTGTTGGTGTTAAAAATGAAGCTACTTTATAACAGTCCCTTTATCAAACCAAGAATACATTCATTTCTCCAACCATAATCACTTCTGCAGTTACCTTTTCTTGGAGTGTGCTCACCATCATGACATACGCTGGGAAACAATCCCAAAGACTACATAAATACCCTTAGGTAATATCAAAAGTCTGCTCTAGGTTATTAAGAAATATAAACATTCAAATCCCTTTAGTTACATTCATGTCATCATATAAATCACAGGATTTGAAGGTACTTTCCCAGCCCTTTCATCCTGAATTCCCTGTGTTGGATTAATTTACACTTCACTGTTGTTTCTAGTTGTTGGTATGTTCATTTTGGACAGTAAGCTATTAAATTATTCGCTATTGCTATAGTCTTCCAGTTGATGGGTGTTGAATTTGATGATCCTCACTGGGCCATACTGTACTGCCAGACTCTCCTAACTGGTAACTTAGCTAGCAAAGCCTTTGCTTCTATCAAAGGAGATGATTAATTCGAACAGAAGTTGAGAGATCCAACATTCTCGAGATACATGACGTGCTTAGGTACTTAACCACCCTAAAGAGTTAACATTTCAAACTGAAGATATTCTTTATGTGATTTGGGCATTGTACTCTCTGTCTTAAACTCCAGTCCCTTGCATGATTATCACTGTTATTGGACATGGACGCATACAAGCGTAAGCAGGATTTATTATTGCTTTTGCACCTTGCATACTTCTGCTTAAATCATGTGTAAAATTCTTTCTGAAGAGGAAAAAAATTGATACTTTTTTTGAGAAGTTACAGATAATGGAAACATTTCATGAACTGAAAATAACTAGTTGCTAACTGTCCTGATAAAGCCTACTCAGTATTTTAAAATCAACATCATTTATATAAAGTTAATGAGCCAGAAGGTATTCAGATGTAGGAACCACTTCATTTAAGATGGATTAATACGTAGCCATATCATTTTGCAATTTGGAAGCATTTGACTTTGAATGCAGTGTAAAATGTAGCCCACATAAGTTGATCCAGTACCATAAAGGAAATTGCTGTTGGCTTTTGCAGAGTTGCCAAGAACAATATACTTAAATGGTCTTGTATTTATTTTCTGCTGAGCTGTAAGGACATTTTCGGTTAATGATTGTAATTCTTTTTTAGAACTTCTGAGTTGGGCTGAAGTAGAAAGAGCCTTCAGAGTGTTTACTTTTGAAAGCATGAAGCTGACTGGGCTAAGTGACTCTGGTTTCCTGGAGAGCTCTGGATCTAAGGTTGGAGGTGATTCTGAAGTGTCTTATATCCCTTGGGATAATCCAGCCATGTTTGCAAGACAGCTGAGACAACCCTTCCTTATGGAAAAGAAATTTAATGGGAAATCTCCAAGAAGCTCTGGTAAAAAGCTTTCTGTTTACGTTAATCCTGAAGAATTTTAATCCACTATTTGTTTTACCGTATCATTTGCTATTGCAGGGATGTGATTTTTCTTCCTTGCACAAGTCACCAAATTTTCAAATATTGTATAGCCTGTACATTGAGTAACTGTAGGAATACTAGAATAAAGACAAAAGCTATTTTGTAGTACGGCATTAATGATTGTAGATGATGCAGAATGAAGTTTCTCAAGTTCTGCATTTTCTCCTGCAGACTCTAGCATAATGAAAAGTTGTTGGCCTGGTTAAAGGAGATGTGTTGGCCAAAAAGCAACATTAAAATCAAGTGATTTTTTTTTCAGGACACAAGAAAATTAGAAATTAGGTAATTTTAAGCAATTACACCTTTAGGTTCATGATCACAGAATCATAGAATCATTATTTAGGTTGGCAGGGACCCTAAAGGTCATCTGTTCTGACATCCCTGCAATACGCAGAGACATTTTCAACTAGATCAGGTTTCTCAGAGTCGAATCTGACCTCCAGTGCTTCCAGGGATGGAGCATCCACCACCTTTCTGGGATATCTGTTCCAGTGTTTCATCACTCGTATGATAAATTCTTCCTTATACCTAGTCTGAATCTATCCTCCTTTCCTTTAAAACCTTTACTCCTTATCCTGTGACTACAGGTCCTACTAGAAAGTCTCTTCCAAGGACACAATAAGAAGAACTCCACACAGCCTTCCCTTCTCCAGGCTGAACTCCCTGAGCCTGTCTTCACAGGAAAGGTTCTCCATCTTTGCAGTCACCTTCATTGGGTCTACTCTGGACCAGCTTCAACAGGTCCATGTGTTCCCTGTGCTGAGGACCCCAGAGCTGGATGCAGTACTTTGTGATGTTGTCCATGCTTTCCTAATAGCAATGTCTAACCAAGCAGCTTAGATGGGATCCTTTTCTTAGAAGGCTGGAGCAGACAAAAATGAGTCCTTCTTATCTGCTTTTCTTCTGCATCTAGGGAACATCTTTGTGTTATTTTATTTTTCTTTTGTACTAGTCACAATATTAAATTTTGCAGTTACAAGCATAACACCCTTTCAGCACTTCTGCAGCACAGAAGCAAATACCAGGAAGATAAAACATTTGCTTTCAGGTTTCTTCAATCTTCTAAAGGCAGTCAGTAAGCAGTAATTTCCAAGAGAAGAGCTTAAAGATGTATGTCTGGAAGCTGGGCTGTTTATAAGACACAAACAAATACTTTGTGGTGTATTTTCCACCAGAAAGAGTAATTTTCCTGTACATATGAATTTTGATCAAATATTAGGGACCTCTGCCCTAATTTAGGGAATAAAGAATTCTATTGAAAGGATTTTTTTTTTTTTAATTAAGAGAATATAAAAGTTAAAGTCCTCATGTGATGCTGTTCATATCAGGTGTTCATTGCAATAGTGGTCAGATCCTCAGGAGAACTAATATTCTGCCAATAGTTTATGGATCTGTATAAACCAAATTAATTTAAACTTTAAAATTTACATCTGTCAAAAATGTGTGAAAGTACCAGAACAATTGATCTTGTCTTTTATTTTAATGTCATCTGTGCAAAGGAATGCTTTTTAAAGAAGAAAAATGGTTCTTTGTTTATGAACCAGGAGGCTACTTCTGAGTATTTTCAGTGGGCCAGCATAGAAAGGATTATTTGAGAGGGTTTTATAAAGTCTTCTTTTTTTTTTCTTTTAATTTTATTTAGTTATCTGGCACTTTTTGTCACTGGATTTTAAAGTGCTCTCTTAGTAAAGAAGTGTAGCAGAGCTGATTGTGTAATTATAGCACAAAAAAAATAATTATAGGACAAAAACAATAATTATAGGACAAAAAAAGGAAGCTTCAACTTTATGTTAGTCTCATCAGGGACACTGAGGAAATTGCACTACTCCAATTTTAGTAGGGCTGAAATTTTTGGAACAATTCTTTAAGTTCTGCTTTCAATTTGCAGGGTGTACTGAAACAAGTGATGAAGATGAAGAAAACGATCTGGTTTATCCTCTGTTGAACATAGACTTGTATCAGCTTTATTCTGATATGGCAAGTGTGAGAAATGGAGTCAACTAGGCTTTGCATGAGGCAGCAGAAACTACTGCTCAAAGCCAGGCCATGTTACTGGGGATACCTTTGCAATATTGCATGCAAATGTTAATTCTGTGATGTTTGGAAAATACTGACATAACTTTTAAGCACTGTGAAATCACTTTCTTTGAATTCCAAGGTGACTGGTTTCGATTAAGCTGTTAATTACAATTCTCTGCTGCTTTTTCTGAATACCAGGAGACAAATACAAATGTGAAAGTTTAAAAGAAATTGTCAAACTGTCACACTACAAAACTGTGTAGTTTGGCATCTTCAGAATCACCTGTCTGCCACATATATATCCCATAATAAACATAGCAATTTTAAAGTTACATCACAGGACATGTTTGAGTACTCATAATTGCTTACAGAACTCAAAAACATATAAGCTAATAATAAAATATTTAGATTATTTTGTCATAAAAATTCCAAAACCAAACCTGGTTGTGAGTAATTGTATTTTTGATTAAACAGTGCCATATGGGTCTGCACATATGCATCATTATGCAGTTAACTGTGATGCAACATGGGGTGCAGTCTATTAATCCAATAAGATTACAGTCAATTTAATACTGACACTGAAATGTTGAGATTCATTATTTTGGTTTGTTGTATTTTGAGGTGAGTCTGGAAAATGATGGCCTAGGACCAACTTTAGAAGAAATAAAAAAGACACAGAGGCGTTGCTTGACAGACTGGAGTTTGGAAGAGCATTTTCAACCACATGTTCTTCGTCAGGTATCTTTGAACTGACAATCTCATCTATTCAGTCCTCCCTCAGAACACTATATAAAGTAGAAGTAGTGGAGTTCAGGGTATTTTTCTGCTCAATAATTGATTCAGTTTTATCTTTCATTTTTACCAAACATTATTGTGCTTTAGGTACTTTTCAGTTCTTCATGCGAAATTTAGTTTGTAAAAGGTTTTTATTTCCTGGTTTAGCCAAACTGGAGGTGTCCTATTTGGCAGCAAGTCTCTTAGATGAAAGAGTGGTGGAGACAAAAACACCTTGCCCCAAGGGATCGTCCTCTGTAGCAGCTTTGGGACTCAGTGCAGTGGTTGTGAAAATATACTTTGCAAATGCATTTGCAGTGTATGTTTTATGGGCAAATAGAAAATTTGGTTGTTACAGTACTTCACCCTTTAAGGGCTAAAAGCATCATTGTAGTAATCTTGCAAACTAAACACTAAAAACTTACTTTGCAGAAAGATAGAATGACAAATCTGAAAGATATGTTCAAGTGTAGTTGGCTTGAATTGAGAGGCATCCTCTTGGGAGGAGTGGATTTTTAGTTCCTGTGTTGCCTTGAGCTTCATAGGTTGTAATTTTTAATTGATCCTGGCACATGCTATACATGGGTGAAGGAAGTGTTGCCTGGACTTTTGCAGCACCACTTTAGTGTGATAATTTTGAAGTCTGGTCATGCATTTCAATGCATGGGGAATCCCTTCATATGCAATAGAAATAGCTAATACTACTTCAACTACCAATAATTAGTGAGTCTAGTAAAAAGATACTGAAGGAGAATTTAAAAATAGCATTTTATTGCAGCGGCAAATAACCTTTTGAAAGAAAATCATGGCAGTCAGGTGAAGTTCCAGATGACTGAATAAAGAGAAACATTTTGCACATCTTTAAAAAGGGTAGAAAGGAGCTCCCTGGAATCTACCAACTTAATCAGCCTCACCTCTGTTCCTGGAAAGGTCATAGAACAGATCCTTCTAGAACCTTCAGCTGCATAGTTATGAAGAATAATAATTTATAAGAAGGCTTTTTTCTACCTATGACTACAAAATAAGTTTCAACCTTCAGGCAATATAAATATTGAAAATGATGGAGCAGTACAGAGTAGGGTGGAATAATGTAGATCACAGCCAATCTCAGAGATGTGCAGGTCATGGTAAAGCAAATTGAATACCAAGGGAACTCAACTGAGATTAAAAAAAAGTAAATTAGGTATTTTTTTGGTCTGGTATATGGTAATTCTGGTTTTATTTGCTATTTATTTCTTTTATTATTTAAACTTGTTTAAGTATTTGTTTAATATTTTAATTTATATGGGTTTTGTGAAGCTGAACTTTTTCCTTCATGGTCAGTCAGAAGGTGCAGCATAGTTGGTATCTATTCTTAACATGAATAGCAATGCAGTTTCAATTTCCACCTACCTGAACAATTCAGGTTGCTGGAATCCAAATACTTTGGATACATCTCATAGGAGAATGTTCTGGAGCACCTTGCTCAAAGCTGTGCTGTGTAGGCTCTGCACATGTGCTACCATCTGCAGGAAGGATGTACCTTTATTTCTTTCCTTTTCAGGTCCTTCATACAGCATCCCAAGAATACAGATGTATTGATTCCTTTTATCATACCCAAGATAACTCTTTACTAATGATTTTTCACAATCCTATGAATCAACATCGTCTGAGCCAAGAGACTTGGAATATTGCTCTGCACTCTAATGTGGGATTCAGGTAATGGATTTTATCTTCCCTGTCTCATTCGCAGTCATTTTTAATTAAAGCCTCCATGGATGTGCTTAGGGCAAAGCTTTGAAATTAAGATGTGAAATTAAATGTGACACATTTATGAGAAAGTCATGCAGGCCAAAAACAGTGCTGTATCAAAAGAATTCTGTTGAACTTTTCCAAGTGAGAACAATGCAGAGTGTAGCTCCTTATCATCAAGTATAAAAATGTAAATAGTGTACACATACATACAAAATCATATTAGAAATGCCACAGCAAGAAAATTGTAGGACATTTCAGGTGAAGAATGCTAAAAAAATAATTCTGTCTAAGTATATAATTACCAGGTTTTTCTACTATATATACATAAATTGAGTGATTTAGTGGGAAATTTTTTTGAGAAATGTTCAAATCCCTTTGTTACTATTAGATTTTTTTTCCCACAGAATAACACATTCTTCTTAATTCCTTATCAATACCTGCTCACCAGCTGGAGGTGTGCAAGTGGTTGATAAACTCTTTTGTTAATGAACCTATTTATTTTGGAATATATTTTTACACTGAAGCAGTGATATAAATGATGATGTAGATACAACTACTATTTCAAATAATTGACTGAAAATAGAATAACTGTCCATGTACTGATATGTAACAATATTAAAATTCCATTGAGAGACAGCTGAGGTATTTTTAGCTATGTCACTCTTGTGCTCTATGGATTAATTAGATTTATCAAATAAAATGTCAAACAAATTATCCATATAAAAATACCTCCCCCCCATTTGTCTGCAGGTATCCTTTTCTGAATGTAGTGCCTCATTTATCATATTATGGGAACTTTTCTAATAAACTTTGGTTGACACCTGTATATATTTGAACAGGTTTGAATACTAAATAGGGAAAATGTGACTTCCTGAAGCTGTATTTTGTATTGTATTTTGTATCTTTGCTCTCAGTCAAGGAACTCTTTGTAGGTCCATCTCAGCTTTCCAGGCATTTGGACTTAAATTATTTGCCATGAAAACAGTCTGTTGTGATTAGCAGTGAATAGGACCAGAGCAAGAAGATATTTACCAGCAGAAATTCAAAGTTCCTTGGAGAAAATGCTGGCTGTTTTGTGTTTTGTTGGGTAGATCCACTAAATGTCTGCTCAGTGGTTTTGCATTTATATAGCAACGAAAATCTTCCCCAAAAGAGAAGTGAAAGATGGTATATTCAAGTAAAGCTGGGCCTTGCATTCAGACAGACCCAAGCATAGGGTCAGTGGTCTCAAGGGCTGTCACACAGCTCTGTTGGCACCCAGAGCTCTTTCCTCTGCCAGCAGTTCTTACCCTTCTTTGTGACACTGGACTTTAGATGCCTAATTCAAGTTTCCTAAACATAAACAGTTGGTGCCACTTCAGCTACCTGGTGTATTTGGGTTTTCTGGGCAGAATTGAACATGAGACCCCTAGGAGACCCATACATGCACTTTTGGAACAAACACCAGGGAGCAGCTCACACAGCCCAGAACATCTGATGTGTCACCTGGTGTTTGCATATGCTGAGAGACACCTCATCCCGGCAATATTGGTGCTGTAGAAGCAGAGGGATGTACCAGATTTCCTCAGGAAGCATTTGTCCCTGAAACAACCACTGTTCATCTCTGGGGTTGTAAAACCACAGACTGACTGGTCACCTTGAAAGGGCATTCATTGAAATCGATCAAGACCAACTTGGAGATGGGAAAAGCTCTTGATAGCTGCAAAAGAAAAGCTGCTGATTTTGCATCCAAAGGAGAAATTATGCATTTTATCTGACTATAAATCAGCTGAGGATGAAATAGATGTGTGCTTCTACTTCTTACTCTTCCACATCCCCTGGAAACAAGGCTTAGACATTAAAGCATGCCTGCTTTGTCCAGTGACATTTCACCAGGTTCTATTTCAAAGCAGCAAGCAGTTCTGTAAGAAAGTGTAATGAATGCTGACAAGATGGCTTGGCTTTGCTCTTGTTTCCTATACATATTCAACATCACTGCTATATATGCGACTTAGAATTTTTGAAGAGCTATAGGTTCTCTTTTTGGTTCTGTTATGTGTCATTGATACCTGCCTATACTCTGCAAAATAGTCAGCACATTTTCAGACTTTATTCAGCCCTTATTGATAAAGATCATTCCGGATCTTCAGACAAAGTATCATAAATACTTGCTAGTGTATGTTTCCAAGCAACATAACAGTTCTGTGGAAGACACTCATTAAATGCCTGGAGTGCTTCAAGCTATTGCCTGCAGTTAGCTTCCAGATCCTGCTGAGTCGCCAGAAACAGGCTCTTATTAATTAAGAATAGTATTACTTGTTTTTACCTTTGTATGAAATAACTGAGTCCTGATGAGTTTAATAGCAATTTATTGATTTTTATAGTGATTAAAATCACTATCATTCTAATTTTTGGTATAGCTTTAAGAATCACACATTCATCACAGAAGAGTTACAAATGCAAAATAGATGCAGAGCTTGACAATTTCTCTGATGAGTTCTTTATCTGTGTTCACTTGTTGCTTCTTTATTGTGACACCTTATAGACTACAGACCATCTTTGTAGACTTGTTTCATAGTTGCTGTCTGGAATATAAATCTGTTATCTGATAATCAGTTGGTTACAGAATCACAGAATAATTTCATTTTGATTACAGTGGGTCCTGTTACAGCAAATTCTCATGCAAAAGGAAATTAAATTTCTGACATTGCAGCAGCTTTTTCTCCTGGAGATCCCAGTTATCTTCCTTTGTTTTTATGGATATTAGGTCCTGTAGTTCATATAGAACATCCAAAAATTCAGAAATTATACTGTTTAAAGGGTAGCAGCAGGAATCTGCATGTGAAATCTAATGGATGACACTGAGTAAAGGAAACCGAAGGCAAGGACACATGATAAGTGTGTATATAAAACATTTAATTCTGGTTAGAATAAGTGGCCACTCTATCAGGAAGCCACATTAATTCAGGCATTATCAAAACCATTATTTTCCCTAAAGTTAATCTTAATTACATTTGTTTATAGTTTCATAGTAAACACATTACACAAGTTACTGGAAAAGAATAATCCTTTCTGAGAAATGCTTCTGAGTCAGACATTGGCAGTAGTGACATCAGAATACATATTAATAGAATGTGTATTTTAGACTTTGAATGACTGTTTCATTGGCCAAAAATATTTTCCACACAAATAGTCTCTTTTTTATTTATAACCTATATTCATCTTCAAGTTATTTCAGTACTGGCAACTCTGTGTTCCAGACTAGATCTGCCTTTTGCTTTCAACACCGTAGGTTTTTATAGCTTGTGCACTTTTCGTCAGATACAAACAGAATAACCTTCTCCCTGCTGAGCAGATATATGATCAACAGTTTCTCCATGCAAGTTTCCCAAAGCAGACTCCACCTACATTGCAGAAGGTGGGAGAGTCTTGTATATCTTGAAGCTGTACCTGAACTGTGCATTCCTGCCTTTGTACATGACCTACAGGTTAATTCTCTTGGACATACTGCTGCAGTAAGAACTGATTGCATTGTCTACATGTTCATACTCAAAAGCCTCTACTCCACTTAGAGTTTTTGAATACAATTGAATCATCCTGAACTTGTAAATACAAAATTATCATGAAGATATTATATATACTCAGCAACTGAATCCAATGCATGCTTCAAATGCTCCTCTCAATTTTGCACACATGAAGAATTTTACTTTCACGAATTGAAATACAACTCCAAATGAGGGCTTGAGTGGCAGTTGCATATAAGACTCCCAGGCTTCCTCCTTTCTTGAAAGTAATTGTTTAGAGTGAGCTACTTTAGCAGTCATTTCAGACACCTTTGGAAGATGAGACAATGCAACTGCAGATACCAGCAGCAAACTCTGGATCAGTTTGTCTTTCAGTTCTCAGTTTAACTTAATTACTACCTGTGAGTATTCTTAATTCATGGCAGGTTATGGTACACTGATTCTCTCATCTGGATTTGGATGACAATTTCCAAATATCTTTCTTGTCACACCAATAAATAAGAGGTTGCATTATATACAATAACACTTCAGTTTCTGAATGAACAAGTAAAGCATGTTCTAAAAATCAGCATCAATCAAAAACAACTAAGAAAATAAGTTATTCAGTGGCAAAAGAGTGGGGATGACAATGAGTCTGAGCCTTTTGGAACTGAATGTCTTGAGGTTTTCTGATTTCCTGGATTTTTCTTTAGCAGGTGTTCTTTGGCAGACAAGTTTCTTATATTTCTTTGCAGAAAGGATAAGCAAAATTCCAAGTGTAACATGTACTAAGCAAATACCAGCTAAGTAAAAGTACCAGTTCCTGTAAAAACTGAGAGAAATCCTTTCAAATACAAGTCTTGTCTCAAAGATTGTAGAATAATACTTGTATAAGAAACTGAGAAGCCAAGTGATCTTGTTTGACCTGAAATCATATTAGTGAATACCATATTATGTTATATAAAGGGATATTCTGCTTTTCAGGAGCTATCTTGAGGTGGTGGCCAACTCTGTTGAAGATTGGGTGAAAGAGGAAGAAGCTAAATACCAAAAAGAGAAGATAGGTAAGCAAATAGAGTCTTTTAAATTGGAAAAAGCCATGGCAGAAGGGCCTCTAGGACTGTTTGCCAGCACTGTCAAAAAAACTGGCTTTACTAAGAAGGCCAGAAATGGATATCTTTTTATTGTATCCTAGGAAATTAATTTTTCACTCTAAGTGCTGAGACACGGATATGTTCAGAGCAGAATTGCATATGTTTTTTCATAGGATTACACTGTTTTGACATCTATATAGGCATAAATATGTTTTGGAATTAATTAAATGTATATATTTAAGTATTCTGTATCTTTATCTGTTCTGAAAACTGACAGCTTTACATTTTCAATAGCTGTGCTTATCTAATAAGATTAAGGATTGCATGTAAATATGTATCTGTTCAGATGACTGAACATATGACGAGGTAAGCAGTAGTTAAAGCTGGTAACACGATTCAGGAAAATTCCTTTTTAAAGGGCAGGATAAAAGCTGGAAGCCATAAGCTGTGGGCTAGAAGCTAAAACTGGAAACTTGAATTGACAAGACTGCAGAGCAAACTTGAATTATAAGCGACATTTTGGGTTGCGAAAATAGCAAGCAGTTCATACAGTAACTGTTGATAGAATCTGAAAACCTCTATTGACAAAAAAGAACTTGTGTCAAAATTGTCTACTTGTGTATTTAAATGGTAATAACAATGATTTGTTTATGTTTAACCTTTGCTTTCTTCCCTTTCTTGAGAATGCACTTTGAAACCTCCCAGGACTAGCAGTTAGCATTTACAAAAATAGAAACATTACTTCTCAACTCAGTTAACATCTATGATTATAATTTGAAACTAAAAGTACAGTTATGACTACTAAATCATAATTTGTACATATCTAGCTGTCACAGGAGCTAGACTGAATCTTGCCCATGTGATGCTTTGTGACAGTTATGATTCATAGACTACTTGCTGAAAGGATATAATCACCTCTAGCTGGAACATGCAGATGGGGAACGGTGTCCTTAGGTGTTTTCAATTTCACTGACACTGCAGTTTCTACTTTATCATACAAAGTAATTTAATAGAAGTTTCTGGTAGTGTTAATTTAATATAGTTTAAATTATCTTTTCTAGAAGGTAAATAAGGGTTATCCAAGCATAGTATAAAACTACACTTATAGAAGGTACTCTTTTCATAAGTCATAGATGCTATAAAGCTGTAATAGCAACTGAGGCATATGGTGAGTGTTTCTTTAGTGAAGGTTTGAAGATTCAGATAGCATTTATTCGGGGTGTTTTGTCCTGAAAGGTTGCAATGTGTACGACTCTGGTATTGAGCTTGTTCTGGCTCAGTTAAAAACAAACACTGCCAGAGCAAAGCCTTCAATAGCAAGAAGCAGAGAGACAGTCTTTGCACATTATTGATATATTATTTAGTGTATTTGGTCCCCAGTTATGAGAATCAAGTTTCTTCTTTTCTTAACAGATTTTCAATTTTATTTCTAAGTATATTTAAGGTTTATTTATTGTACAGTTGTGCTTTCCCTATTTTTAAATATACATTTTTATTTGCACATCTTTTTTTTCACCATTTAAAAAAATTATTCTATTTTCCTGTATTTATAACCTCACTTATTCTCCCTTTCACTTTTCAAAGGCAGCACAACTCAACCTGAGAATGTAACAAAGTCTCAATCCAAGAATGAAGAAAGTCTCATTATCAGAGAAAATTCTCTAAAGGTGAGGCAAAAATATTTATGTTTCCGAAATGGACTAGATTGTAGTGCTTTCTTAGGAAGGTAAGGCTTTGTTGTTTACATAGGCTTGACTGAGTCCTCTTAGTTTTTCTGCTCTGTTATTTTTTGTATATGTTATTTTCTTTAATTTATTCCTTAATGATTGTGAGTTGTGTAATGTTATTTTCTTAAGAGACAACTATTTGGAGTTAGACTAGGCATTCCAAAGCAATTTATAGTTGCAATACTATAGTGAAGTATAGGAAGTGATTTTAAAGGTATGAAAAGATAAGATCTAGATTCATGGAAGTACTTGTGTACCCAACTATATTTTTACTGTCTACAGCTCTTTGAAATTAGGGAATGTAATATGGTACCTCAGAGTTCCCTTATGTCAGAGAATCCCATTTTATAGATTTAGTCCATGACCATTCACTACAGATTAATTCACTAGTCCGGTTTACACAGTAAATTTCTAACTGAGGTAGGGATTAAGCACACAGTTGTTTTGGTGTTAGCAATGGTACTATCCATTAATCTGCACAAATCTACTATTGTTGATATTGTATTCTCCTGCTTTTTTTTTTTTTTTTTTTTTTTTTTTTTTTTTTTTTTTTTTTTTGACTCCTCACAGACATATTATGTCTCATCTTCCTCGCAGTGTGTTATGCTGTGCAGTTCAAGTCCTAATGTGGAATGTAGATAGGAAATTAGGTTAGCTGTCACAGCTCAATTGAGGCTAATGCCTGACTTGTAGTTCTCAATGCTTGCCATTTCTTCCCCAAAAATGCTTCTCCTTTAATATGTTTAGATTATAAAGTGCTACAAAACCCTAAATACTCCAGAAAATCTCAAATGTCTTCCTGATGCAAGCTGCTAATTTTGGCATTGACACTTCATTCCTCTTTTTGTAAAAAAATAAAATAATTTTATCTCACAGTTGCATTTGGAGAATAAGTTAATACCAATGAAGCATTGTGGTTTGATGCTAAACATTGTGGAAAAGTATTCAACAAAATCATTCTCCTGTGACTGATTTTGTAAGATATGAATAATCACCTGATTCATCTCCTTTGGTCAACAATGGCTGCTGTTATAGATTGAATGAATCACTAATTTTGTCCAAAATTTGGTGCATAATATTGTGAGACTTTTGCCACATTTGGAAATGTGGCTTAGCTTAGAACTTTGATTCTTTTGGTTTTGTTTGCTTCTACTCTTTTCAGTATGCACATATGAAATATCTTGTGGTACAAAGATAAAAACAGTCTGTTTAATTCCTGATGTTGAATGTAGGCTTGGAAGATTGAGCAGGACCGATTACGAGAGGAAGAAAAAAAAGAAAAGGAAGAAAAACAAGAAGAGGAAGAAAGATTGCTAAGTAAAAAGAAAGGACGGGATACAAAAGATAAAGGAAGTAAAGAATCAAACAAAAGACCTTCTGAAGAGAAGTATCAAAATGAGTCAGCAAAAGCCACTGAACTTCAGGAGGATCATAGCATTCCAGAACCATGTTCTGAGAAAGTTTATAAGGTAAGGAGTTGTATTATTATACCACATTAGAAATGTGCTAACTATATAGAGAGTCGAGATTACAGCAAAGCTATTAACTATTGTGAAATTTGAGTTCAGGGCAAATTAAGCCTAACTGGGTCTTGTTACCTCTGTTGTTTCAGCAGCAGATCCATTTCTAAAAGTTTTAAAAAGCAGTTCTTGATGTTCAAGATTTTCTTACACCAGATTTTTTTTTTAGTGAACACAAACGTAAGTTGATCATGTTGAGATTTTTGTGGGAGAGGATAGGAAAGAGGAACTTAAGAACTTGTCTTATCTTCCACAACAAGGAACTACTAGACCTAGTTGAAATTTGGCTGTCCATACTGGAAATCACTGTTTCTTACATTTCCTCTTTCAAAATTCATGTTCTTGAAGTGCCCTAATCTAAAATATGTATTTTTCCCGTATTTCAGAAAGTAATTCCATTGGCATGTGTGCAACAGGAAATGCAGAGCTCAGATCACTCCTGGAGATCACATCAAATCTAAACTGTAATTGTGCTTCATGTCCCTGGCAATCCCAGGAACTCATGTCTAAACAGTTCAATGGACACAGCAGGTCCCCTTTTTCTGCCTGTTGCACTAACAGAGGGAGCTCTTCACTAGTTTTGTTCAAGCAGTTTTTCAGCAGTTTGCACCACCTTATATTTGTAGAGTCTGTCTTGCATCCAAAACTTGCACACATCTATATAATTCAGTCTATATTTGCTTAAGTACAGACTTCAAACCCAGAAATAGATGGCATTTCAGTCTGAACTGATTTGAATAGTCACATAATTTTTGCCATCTTGTGACATTCTGGAAGGCATAGCAATCTAACTAGATTTACAGTATCTGAATTCCAAAACGTAGAGAGTAGAAAATTGAATCTTTGCCTCCTTTATGTGATCCCATGGCATTGTACTTTGTCTCTTTGGACTTGATCAGAACTTTTCTTTCTCTCACACTGTATGTTGACCCACTGGTCTACTTGCTACTCTTCAGTTTTCATGATAGTTTTCACATGTAATAAGTTACAAAATTTAAAAACTGGGCAATTATTTGGATATGATTATAGCATGCTAGATATTTGCTCAAGGTTTTTTTATATTAGTTAAATAGCTAAGCATAAGATTTTGGGCAGTGCAGTGTGATCCTGATGATCTGTCCTTCATTTACCTCTATCATGTGTACTGCCTTTCTCATTTACAAATAATTTAAAACTTGTTTTTTCCAGTTCCATGGCTACAATACAGGGGAGAATATCATTCAAGTATCAGGAACCAATCAATATCTTTTCCCATCCGATGGAGGACAGATTCAAGTAGAGACTATACAGTTTGTAAAAAGTAATTATTTGTTTTTTATGTTTTTCTTTGACTCGAGTGCTGACTGATAGAATAATTTCGTAATCCATAAGTGCTTTTTCATGTCTCAGCAGTAAAAATTCAGTTAAAGAAATTAATTATTGGGTTCTACCACACTAATATTTACAGTTACCTGTAATATGTTAACAGTTGATAGATAAATGAAGTGCCAGAAAACTAGAAATGCAGAAAAATCAGTTCATATTTATTTGCTCAATGGCAACTGATGCATGATATTTCCAGAATATTCAAATTATTTTTCCAGTCAAATGCAATATAGATATGCAACAGATTCTTCTGCAGACTCTCAGATTTAATTATCAGGAAGTTTTTAAATATTTAGTCTAAACTCAGATAACCTTTATTTTGTCACCTTGGTTTTTCTACTACATTATTCAGTCCAATTATGAGTATTTTTCTTTTTTTGAGTGCTTTAAACTAGCAGATGCACTGTTTATTTGCATCCAAATAAGTTTGGAAGCCTGCTGGAAGCACTAATATTATTCCATTGCTTTACAGAAACTTTGATAAAGGTGAAAGTTATGAAAGACAAGCACAATTTCTTCATTCATATCACAGACCCAAATGAAAACTTCAAAGAAGTTGAAGAGCAAGAAATTAATGAAGATCAGCAAATCAGATCAGGTTAGTGGATTGATGTCACTGATATAAAGAATTAATAGTTTGATGTAGATAATAATTGGATGCAAAACTTACCAACTAACAGAAAACATATTATTACTAATGGCAGAAAGTAAGAAAAGTCAGTGTTTCATAAAATAAAGTAAAAATCCAGTTGGCTCACTTAAGCACTGTATAGAGAGTTCTTAGGAAGATGTAGAAGCACAGTGCTGGTCAACACATGCAAACCAGTCTCTTTTCCAAAGCAAGAAAATCACCATTCCTTAAGAAAATAGTTTTCTTCTTTAGTGGAGGACTCACTCAGATCTTCAAGTGGCCTGAGAAAGTCTAAGATGAAAATTGAATCCTGCCCATTGTGACCAAAGTAAATATCTGTCCTTGAAAGGGAAGATTTCCCCTTTTGATGTGGACCTCCTTTTGTGGGTCAGATGACCATAGCATTATTGCCTCCTCAAGACCTTTGCTTTGAAAACAGCTCTTTCTGCAATCCTGCAATTTCTATGTTTGGTTGACATATTGTTAATACTTAGAAAGCATTGAATCCAAATCCTTTCTGAGCCCAGGTGAGAGTATTTCCAAGAAAGAATCTAGTTTGTAATAATTTGTGTATATGTTTGCCAAAAGCATTATGGAATTCCTGTCGCCAAACTGAAGAGTATTGGGAGAGGATAACTTATACATATTTGCTCTCTTCATTATCAGTGTTTGAAAACATCCTGCTCTTGCTTCTCCCCTTGTCTTACCAGCAATGTAATTGTAGGTTGTCTTAATACAGAATTTACATCCCTTCTATGGACAAGATTTTTTTGTCTGGATTTCTGACAGCTGACCTGGGGCCTGCTGTATAATTCTGGTGTGTGCCAGACAGTACTGGCATCACCAGTGTGTGAGTATCTGAGACAAGTTGTATTCACTGGACACAAGTGTGAGGCTTTCATCCCATATAAACAGGAGCACATTATAGAAAGGCAGTACGGAAGAAAGAATTAATCCACTCTGATAGTTGTCAGTGTCTGGATAGTACAGTGGTAAATGTGTAAAGGAGTTGAAATTCCAAAACATCATCCTACAGGTGGTATTCAGCAGTAAGCATTGCAATGACAGACAAGAAATAGGAGCAGACAAGGTCTCAGGATGTGTCCCGTGTTGATGAGTTCAGGAGATAACTTGGCCTGCCTTAACCTGCTTTTGTAGTCTTCTCTGCTACTCCTCACCATTTTAAGAAGCTGCTCCCCATATGGGAAATCCCAAGTTTTTCTCTTTAAGTCAGCAGCAGCTAAAGTAGAGGCAAGGTAGGACCTAGTGTCTGGGAGGGGCGTCTTGCCTAGTTCATGTGGTTTTCACCATGACATACTCATCACATGACACCTTGATCTGCCCTTCCATGTGAATTTGATTCCTGATCCACTTTTACAAATCCCAGACATGTCTTTGGATTTAATTTCTTAACTTTTTTGTCCTTTCTTTTACTTTCTCCTCCAAGTATAAACATAGAATCATAGACTATCCTGAGATGGAAGGATCCCTCAGGGATAATTGAAGCTCAGCTCCTGTCCTTGTGACAGCATGTGAGGGACAGTGATTTTTATTAATGCATAGGCCACATGCAATAGCAATAGGCAGTTTAGCATTCTTGCCAGCCAAGAAACAAGGATCCATAACTCCAGAACTGGGTTATTTTGCTGCTTAAATTCCATATGATCTTACACTAGTTGTTTGTATTAAGCCTGTTTTTACACACCTAACTTATTAGAATGCTATTTCTGGATAAAAACCACAGGTGTATTGCACAAAACTGACTATTATATCGTACCCTAAGAATGGAATGTTGGTTTTCCTTGCTCTATTTAGTCTATTTAGGTTAGTCATCCTCACTGAGGTTCCACTTCTCACACCAGCCATTGGTTTACAGGTCAGGTGGTTGTGGTATGTGTTGCTGTCTTAATTTTTTTTTTTTTTTTTTTTAAGGAGAATTGAAAAATGAAAAGGAAGCTGTGAGCAAGTTTGGATCTTTTTCCTCCACCTTGGAAAATGGAATCCAGCTGTCTCTGAGCTATTATGGACCTACAGGGGAGGAATCAGGTAAAGTAAGCAAATAGAAGAGGATATTTGAGAACCGTAGGGGGAATTTATTTCCCTTTTTATTTTTTTTTCCCTTCATACACTCCTTAACCCAATAATTTGTTGCATGCAATTCTGCCTTTCTCAGCAGCTGTTACTACATGGTAGAGAATTTTCAGCAAGGCTCAAAATGAGATTACATTGTCAAGAATATTCTGTGATTCAACTTTCAAAATGGAGGGAGGTCTCCAAGCTTTTCTGCTTACTGTGAAAACAGAGCAGTGCAAGTATTGTTATTAAGTAGCCCAGCAAAATCAGCCAATTAATTTGAGCCAAAGAAAATGTGATTTGCTGAGGAGTCTTCTTGGTTTTCCAAGAAATAATATTTTTGTAAACTTATATAGGCGATTATGGAACTTTCATTTTACTTTAGGAGTTGGACTTAAGGTTACAGTTGTGCAGACATAATGAGGGATTTCTCTCAGCCTTTCAATAAACACATTCACCAACTGGAAGCAATTGCTTCAGAAAACCACAGTGAAAACAGTGTCTGCTTTTACCAAGAGCTTTTTGTTTCCATTACATTTGAAAGGCCACTGAAACCATCTTATGGATAAAAGTGAAACCCTTCTCTGATTGAAAATAATTCCAGCATTTTTCAGCTCTTAAAATATGAAAACATTTAATTGAATGCATCTTTGTGTGGACTGTGGTAAACCATTCAACTCTACACTCAGTTTTAATTGTTCAAATATATTTTACAAATAAATTACTAAAAAATAGACTGTTTAGACTTGGGTCAAGAGAGCATTCAAAACAGTAGCCCACAAAAACTTGGATTATGACATAAAAGAAAGACATGTCTGATTAAATACCTACATTTCAGCTGTGATGTTTAGTTTTTTCTCATTCACCATAATCATCCTATTCTGCATTAGAATAATCCTTGCCATGTTGAGCTTTATAGTGTTGCTAATTGGTATTCTTTGATTGCTTGCAGTTTTTCTGTGATCTTTTGCTTATGCCAAATTCCCATGGGTCTTTGTGTTGTAAGGGCTCAGAATAATTCTGACCAGAAATACACTCTTAGGTAATTCTCATATGCCATCCATCCCTAATGCAGAATCATATACCATGAAATCTGCAATTTCTCTCCACTGATCAGTTTCATTGTGTGCAAATTACCCTTTTTCCCTGCAGTACTGAAATAGTTTTCTGGAAACTCTCTAATTCACATTTTTCTTACTGTTTTTCATACTTTATCTAGTTTATCTTCCTTTTAGGGAAGCTAAGGTGACAAAAGGCCTCAAGTTGTTTTTCCGCTTTATGCAACTTTTTTTCTTTTAGGGGGCAGATGTTAATATTTCTTCAAGTTTTGAATTTTTCTTTATTTTCTCCAGCATTATCAAAGGTTAATTTCTGATCACCTTGCATTTATACTAGAAATAATCTCCTTGTCTCTTTATGAATCTGAGACTGCTTGAGCACCTGCAGGGCTTTTGATTCTGGATACTATAGAACATCTGCACTTGGTCTTTATATTTTGACAAAATAATAACAGTACAATTCCAAGTCCTAGACATGTGAATGTGTCTTTCTGGAATTTTACATCTCTATCAAGATTTCTAAACGTACTTTGTCTCAGTCTTGACAATCCACTATTTTTCACTGTTACCCTCAGAAACCAAGTTCTTATTTTTGGCATAGGTGAAATTTCTATGTAAATAAAGTGTCAGTTTGTTGAAATAATTACAGAAAATGTAAGTTTTTGTTTCTTTTATTTTCAAGAAATTGTTTTGAAAGGCAACATGACTACTTCCTGTTGACATGCCTAGCAGGCTGTCCTAATGCTTGGCTTGAAGAATTGCAAGAGTCTCATCAAGCCTAGATCATTAGAATCTTTCTGAAGAATTATAACAAAATAGACATATGTATTACAAAATTTGTAGAGTTAGTCTGTGCTGGATCAGTCCATGATAAAGCACAACACAGTGATATTTTACTAGATACTAAATTCAGAATGTCTCTGCTTTTTAAGTATTCTGGAAGTAAAGAAGAATTTTTAAATTGTAATTTATTTTTGAGGTAACAACCAAGTGACAACTTGTGGGAAGCAATAGTTTAAAGATGTCTTTTAAGCTAATAAATTGTCAGTCTGTGGAAAGATTTTCTAAATACTCTTATATATTTAGTTCCTCTATTTGAAATAACAAACTGCCCCACTGAGGTTATTATTTATAAGGTAAAATTCAGTGTATAAAATCTTTTTATAAAATAAAATGTGGCCATCTACATTTATTAAGCTTAAATACATTGAAAATCTTGCTTTTCCCTTCCTTAGATGAAGAAACAGATCTTGTCTTAGCAAGAATTCTGAACATCCCTTCTGTTCATCTTCCGACGGTAATTCCAGAAACAGTTTCTTCTGTTACACCAGCTCCAGGAAAAAAAGATAAGTCTGACAGAGGAAAACCAGGAAAAGCTTCTGCCAAAGGAAATCATGGCAAATTAGCCCCTTCATCACCTGATGATCTGGTACAGAAAGAAGAACAAAAGGTGAGAGAAGAGACAATATCCAATCCAAAGAAACAAAATAAAAATTCAAAGCCATGAACTTCTGTAGAAAGAACATATATTCTTCTCAGAGGGCTTTGAGCTGTGCCTTTACAAATTCCTAACAATTTGTGGTGCCCTTAAGGATATGTTTTACTCTTTCAGTTGTTCTCAGATGTACATATTGGCAGCTGTTAATGAACTTGGTCTTTATGACTCCGTGATGTAAAGCAGCGAGTCTGCCGTGGCCTGCATTCTTTTGTCAATTTTGGCTTTATGGTTCCAGCTGTTACATTGCAGGTGATCAAGGGGCTGGAGCACCTTCTCTGCAAAGACAAACTGAAACAATTGGGGTTGTTCAGCCTGGAGAAGAGAACACTCCAGGAAGACTTTAGAGAACGCCTTCCAGTACCTAAGTGAGGCTACAAGAGAGCTGGAGGGTGACTTTCTACCAGAGCTTCTAGTGACAGGAAAGGGAAAATGGCTTTAAACTGAAAGATTAAGATTAAATATTAGAGAGAAATTCTTTACTGTGAAGGTGATTGAGGCACTTGAACAGATGCCCAGAGAAGCTGTAGATGCCCCATCCTTGGAAGTGTTCAAGGCCAGGTTGGATGGGGCTTTGAGCACCCTGGTCTAGTGGAAACTGTACCCTGTCCATGGAAGGGGGTTGGATCTCAACAATCTTTAAAGTCCCTTCCAACCTGAACCATTCTATAATTATTAATATCTCAGTTACAAGAACTGCTAAATTTTTAGTTTAATCAAGTAGATTTTTTTGGGGGGTTCCCAAAACCCATATTCAAAAGTCTAACCTACCAGAAAATTAGTGAAGACAGTTTTGCAGTATCTTGCTCTGTAATTTGGTCTTTCCAGCTGATAACAAGCCAGGGACCAGCAATTTGAGGAAGTTACTTTAGCCTTTAACTGAAGTACTTCTATCACAGTACAGTCTTCAGAAAGAATTAATGAATCTTTGGAAAGCAGATTCTGAATTTCTGTTGTGAAGTAGGTTTTAGTACGTCGTGGTTGAAGTAACACTGTGGCTGTTGTTGCAAAACAGATTCTGTGCATATCCACAAAAAGGGCCCCTTGCCTAATTTCATCATGGAAAGTGGTGTAGGGAGTTGCCAAACAGCACTCAACATAACATTCAGCAATTGTATGGCACAAACAAACCCTATAGAAAAATAACCCTGTAATTAAAAATTCTGTCAGGATGACTTTTAAAACCAAAAGGCTTTTAACTACTTGGTTTGGATTACTTTGGATAGAGCATATCCATATTAGTGCATCCAGCACCTGTCTGTGTGAGTCTGCAAATATTTTGGGGGACAGGATTAGAATCAAAATCAGACTTGACAAATTCACAAGAACATGGTCTGTAAAATAGGATGCAATTCAGTAAGAATAAGAGATAGGTTCTACAATTACTTATAAATAATCAATATATATCTACGGAATGGATAACAACTGTGTCAGTGGCAGTTCTATAGAGAAAGGTCTGAGAGTTGTCATGGCTCACAAGCTAGCCATAAGTCAACAATGCCATCTTCCTGTGAGAAGGGCAAAGACCACTGAGATGTGAATACAGAGGAGTATAACCTGCTAAATATATGAAGTTATTTTTCTTTTATGGTTGGTAGAGTCTCAGTTGGAGTATTGTGTCCAGTTATAGACACTGCACTGCAAGAAAAATATGGGCCACACTGAAAGTTTTAAGGAAAGCATGAAGATTACAGGTCTAGAAGACTTAACCAGTGGGAAAGATTTAAAAGAATTGGTTTGGGTTTGTTTAATCTGGAGTTGAGAGACAGAATAGACTTCTACAAAGACCTAAAAAAAACCCATCATCTATTATGTGAGCTTGTATCATTATCAGAGGTATTTAGAAGTAAACCAATTTTCTGCAGTAGTGATTCAGGTCAATTAATGGAAAAATGTCAGTGAGGCTAAGCAAGGTAAAGCTCTTGGAACAGTTTACCAGGCAACCTCTAGCCCTGGAAATTTTTAGAATATGCTACATTAGAATTTCTTGCTAACAGTATAGTTATACTTCATTATTGTTTTTACCATTAGACAGAGACAAGTAAATGACAGCTGAGAATTAGTTGTGCCCTATTCTGTGACTTCTACCTCATGATGCTGTGACTACAATCCTAGGGTATTGAGAATAGCCTTAATTACCAATAGTATTATGTAAATTAACTGTAAAATACACAGCATATTTTATGCAGAACAGGTGGCAAAATATCTGCCATTTCCCCCCTATATTTGTATTCCTAAAAAGCAAGAATATGGGATAATACCAGGACAAGTTATCTCTGTTACTTATGTCTGCAACCCAAAACTATTTAATCTTATGACTCCTGGTATAGTGTAGTCCATTGTTACATAGTTTTTTGAGGGGATGATTCTTCAAGCTGAATGAAAGAGGATAGCATATTCAAAGAAAATAACTAATGTTTCCACTTCTGAATCCATAAACTCTAAAAATGTTAAATATGAGTGGTAGACAGCACTTTAAAAAAAAAGTCTTGTTAAAATAGAATCTATACAGACTAAATCTGTACTCTATTTTTTCTTTATTATCTTAAAATGTGAAATATAAATTAATTAATTTTTCATTCTGTAGATGGAAACGCAAGAACCAGTTTCCCAAACACAAGAGATGTCAAATGCTCCTGCTTTTCCAAGTTTGAATGCCTCCTGTCCCAATGGACTTGTATTAACTTTCCTTGGTGAAAGGTTTCAAGGTTAGTGTTTTGAGACACTGCAAAGTAATTATTTCTTCATTGATGGGTTTAGATGTAACTAATGTTTTTAATGTCAAGAATGCTAAGTCTGTCATAATGTTTATTTCATAGTATTTGCAACATGAATAGTATGGTTTTATTCAAACAAATATGAAATCTAGAATTACAAGTTGTTGAACATAAAAGATTGAGGGCAAGGAAGTAGCAACCCTAAAAAGCCCTTGGGAGTAATTTTGGATAATCATTTGACTATGCACACAGATTGGAATAGTAAAGAAAAACAAGCAAATTCAATAAATAAATACATATATATTGAGGAATTTTGAGTGATAGCAGGAAGATGGTCACACTACCTGTGTCTTTCACAGCCTATGTATTTAAGCCCCCAAGACAAAATGTTAACAATTTGAAAGATTAGGGGAAGAATGACAAGAATGATTAAAGCATCAGAAGATGTATCTTATAATGAGCTCATTTCACTAGAGAACTCAATTTAAGTACCAAAGAAAAGGTCAAAGGAATGACTGGTGCCAGCCTGGAAGTACAAGAAAATAAAATTTTGGTGATAGCTTGTAAACACAGTACACAAAGTTTTACAATTTTCAGGGGCTTTAAACTGAAAACTAGGACTTTATACTAGATTTAAGTTATACTCATTTGGTAAGAATGTTGCACTTATAAATTGTAAGACTTATTAACAAAACTAACCAAGGCTGTGATGGAGTCTCTGCTGCTGGTTGTTTTATAATCAGGGATTTTTGGTTGCTTTTCTAAAAGATGCAATCAGTTTCAAACAGGAATTATTTCACAGAAGTCCTTTGGTTTATGCCATCCAGTACATACAGAGAAAACACTCAGAATAAGCCTGCCTTTATCATTGGATTTCCTTTAGAAGACTGATAGGGTATATGGATACTTTAAAGCTTCCGTGCCTGACAAATATTCTGCAATAATTATTTTTTGCAGTGTTTTTGAAAATCACTATTAGGTTCATCTTTGCATGTTGTAAACTGTAGTAAATCTTGGGCTTTTTTAGTCATGCTGTTAGGCTTTGAAGCAGAGAAATGTGAATTTTGTTGTCATCTAGTTAGTTCTAAAAACAGCCATGTACAGATGTCATTTAATACCTGTGTACAACAAATCTGTACAGCCTGTGTGCTTTGATAAATCTGGTATGAAGTAAAGAACATGCAGAGTGTTCTCAAACATAAATAGTTTGTCAAGAAGCATAAGTTGAAATGCTGAATAGTTGAGGTGAACAGAGCAATTACAGACACTTACATGGAGTCTCTCAAAAAAATAACCATAATTATACCCCTTAGCATACTCAAAACACTGCCAGCATTTAATCTAAGAAATTTACTTGTTCAAGCAGACAGAATATATTACTTGGGTCTCTATGCAAATTCAAACTTGGTGAAACTCATTTGGGTTTTTTTCACCTTTATGGGCAGTTAGGGAATTCCTCACACATTTTGTCAGTCTTCCAAACGTTCGACATCCATAATAAATCCAATCTTCAAATTCCCCTTGTTTTAATTTGGAAAGACAGCCACCTTCACAAGAGGATGCAGAGTTTCTGAGTAGGTGACTGTTTTGAACTTTGCTCTGAAGTCAGGGTCAGTCTTTTACTCTGTGGATTACAGATTCAGCCAAGGAGGGATAGTCTTAGCTAAAGCTGCACATCTTCTGTTGACACTATGATGCTGGGTGTGTAGCAATGTTTGAATGTGTACTACACAGTACTAAGTAATTCAAAATTTGCTTTCAGATTTGAAAGGTGAAGCCACTGCCACTGAAGCAAAGGAAGAGATGGTAGAGGAAAGTAAGGCCAAAGCAGATGAAGGAGAGAAGGAAGAGGTTATGCCAAGTGGAGAGAAGGAAGACGTTATGCAAAGTGGAGAGGAGGAACATCAGGTTACAGAAGGTGAAATAAAGCAGGAAGACACTAAAAGTGAACAGGCTAAGCGACCTACTCTGGAAATTCTGGTTAGACAGAGTTATCCCCAAAAGGTAAAGAACTGTCATCTTTATTCACCTCCAGCAAGGCAAACAGAACAAGAGGTGTCAAGAGTCATCACTAGTCAAGGAACTGTCATAAAGCACCTGATGGATGGATCTACCCAGGTATATTTGGTATAATTCATTGCAAGCAGTACAATTTAGTACAGTTTATTGTAATGGAAAGTCGTTACCCCAAAACTTGTTTTTGTCTACTGAGATCGAGAGATGTCCAGTTTGTAGATGAAGGAGTTAAGTAATGCTGAATTATGCAGCCATGTCAAGACTAAAATACTCTTGGCTTTGTTCCGAGTCAGAACTTAGGGAGATTTAAGTATGAAAATTTCAGGCATGAGAAGGTTTTAGGCAACTTTGTAATTAGAAAATAGCTGAATATGGTTCAGAGAACTACATTCCTAAACTTAAGCTTCTGAAGTGTGGATTAGTTCAGCTTTGAGTGTTTTTGGCAATATGAAAGCTTTCATATCTTTTTTTTTCAGTTTAAACACTCATATAGGATCCAGAAAAGATCTGAATTGTTATTCAGTCCCACAGACACCTTTATGTATCCTAAATTTTCAGGAAAAATTCTGTATGTTACTAAGTACCTGCTTTGTTTACACGTATTTTTGTTGTGTAGAATTTTGATACAGTTTAGGTGATATAGGCTGTCTTTGCAAATACTATAATCAATCCACAAGCAACTTTTTTTTAAACACTAAAACTCTACATGTAGTTAGGAAACAGATGAAAAGAGGAGTCATCTAATTTGACTCAGAATCTGTTAAAATAATTCCTTATTTCCTGAATTTCTTTTTCCTGTAGTAGACGACAATGCCTAGTGTAAGTTCTTTATATTTATTCATCACACTAGTTGTTAAAACATTTAGCCAGGATTCCTGAGAAATGTATCCATTTCAAAAATAGCTACTGTATGTCTATATATTTACAACATTCTGTTTCCTGATAGAAGGATGTAGATTTTATGTGCCTAAAATGATTTCACAATAGTCTTTGCTTAAACAGATTATGAGTGCATCCTTCTTTATATTAACTTCATGTCTATAAGTCATCAGAAATTTATTACATATGATAAGCATTCAAAACTGAAGAAATATTTAATTCCTTGCAGTAACAATTTCAAGAGTTGTTTCTATATGTTGTCCATTTCTTTTCTACATTGTACTGTATTTATCAATTAATTTAGGGATGGTTGGAGTAATTCTAGAGTTTATCTGACACACAGAAAACATGCATAACAAGAGATGAGTGTAATGGATCTCAGAAACCAGACATAATTTGATAAATAACCAAGACTTCTTTTTGTTGACTATCATAATGGCTAAAAAATTCACAGCAGTCCTAGACACATGGAATATCTCAGTACAGATCAATATGTCAACACAGATGATTTATCACTGACAGGACACATGGAAATGGCTCAAAGGAGCACTAAGGGAGGTTCAGGCTGGACATTGGGAAACATTTCTTTATCAGGAGAGTGGTCAGACACTAGAACAGGCTTGCTGGAAAGGTGGTTGATGCCCCAAGGTTGTCTGTTTAAGAGGCATTTGGTCAAAGCCATTGACAAGATGCTTTAACGTGGTCAGCCCTAAAGTGGTCAGGGAGTTGGACCAGGTGATCATTGTAGATCCCTCCCTAACTGAAATAGTCTGTTCTATTAATTCTCTTTAAGAAAGCTTCTTTATTCTTGTATTAATTCTTAGGGATTTTACTTTTTTCCTCTCCATCACCCACAGTATTCTAGTGACTATCACATTTGTGACACATTCTTTTAAGACTTAGTAATTGTGTTTGGATTTATTTTTTACCTGAAGTATGTCCTTGATTCTGTAGATTCTGTTTGCTGATGGCACAGTGAGTAATAGCCCCGATTCTGGTCCTGTCCTACCACCGCCTACAATTCCAGATGAAATATGGAGGAAAACTCCCTTATCAGAATCAGACCGTTTATCTGAGACCAGCACTAAGAAAGGTAATATTTCTTGTGTTTTGGACAGATATAAAGTTAGTAGGGTTAATAATACTTAATAAAGAGCATATTTCTTTAGTGTGAAAAATCTGACTTTGTGAAAATGCAATTTTATCTGTACTCAGCTGCTGCATACTGCTATGTTACCTTCATTGCAAATAATTTCTCTCCTACTCCAAATTTATTTTTCTTCTAATGTGGTAGGACTCTAGTAAGTAAAACGTTGTGTAAGAACATCATTGTATCAGAGTGAACACTGAGTCTTTTAAAAGAAATCCTTGTAACTACAGTATTGTTAAATCCCTACTTTTGTCTTATAGTCTTTTTATTAAGTGCTTCTCTCAAAGAGGATGCATTTTTCTTTCTCACTGTGTATTCCAAGGCACCTACTATTGGTCATTATCAATTAGTTGTTTGGACTTGTGATTGGTGGTAATATAGCCATTCTTACTGTATTTTGTTTGACTAAGAAAGAACTAAATAATGTTTACTTCATACCTCAGAGTGTAATCTGAGACCACTGTCAGTATTACTTATTACACAGAATAGTTTTGGCCTGTCATATTAACATACAATTTATTGGAAATAGGTGAATAAAAATTGCTGCCAAAGAGAAAAGTGTCTCAAAAAGAGACTTTGAGCCAAGTCCAGGCCTTTTTCTTAGGATATTCCTTTAGGTACCTGAAAAGATGAGAACAACTCTGATAAACCGTTTTCTAATATGAATTCTCAGTATCTGTGATTAGTGTATGTCCTTTATTCCTTGTCCTTTATTTATGATCACTTTTTCACCTTCCTTACATTTCTTCTCCTCTGCTTATTCTTGACAAATTTATAGTGAAGAGTTTCATCCCCTTTTGGTGTTGGGGATGATTTTTTTGCTAGATATTTGTTCTAAGTGTTTCAGCCTGCTCTCTGGAATACACTCTTGTCTTTTGCATACACTTAGTCTATTTTTCCTGAATATGGGAGACAAGAGTTCTCTATAACTCTATAACCAATAAGATCTCTCCAATTGCCTTTCAGAATTAGATTTTCATCCTTTTCTTCTGATGCACCATAATACTGATAGCATTAGCATGCTACTTACTTTTTCTGTAAGGAAGCACATTAGATAAGGCTAGTTTAAGATCATGTCTTTGAGTAGTAGGAGTTTTAATTTTCTTCTAGCCTGTTAAATAGTTCATTTTGCAATTCTGTCAAAAGCAATGTTCACAAACTCTGAACTTTACTGGTTTTGTCTTTTGCCTTAAAGAATATCAAGTCTGATACAGAAATGTTTGTTTCTGCAGGAAAAGGCAGCGACAAGACATCCCTAAACTCACTGAAGTCTGAGGAGTCTGAAAAGGCCAGTTCTACACAATCTAAGGCAGGAACCTGGATAACAACAACTCCATTAGGCATTCGAGTGGGCACAGAGGGTGCCACAAGAATGGATATGAAGCCACTCTTAATGTATCAGGCCACAGACCCAGCTGATGGAACGGTATTAAATGCTTTGGTGTTACTGTATGACTGTCTATAAGCTAAGAGACAGGGCTGCCATCACATAAATTGTAGGATTTATTCTTAAAAGCATCCTACTGGTTGTGTTGCCCTGTTAGAAATGCAGTAGATTTAGATTTTGAAGAAAATGTGATTCCTCTGTCTCTGAAGTAGACGACAATGTGGTAGTCAAGCTTCTTTAGAGCTTCAGTCCTGGTGCCTTATATTATTGTTGCTGCTGTCACAAGTATCACAGTGCCAATATAAATGAGCGGTCCTTCATTCTTTCAGATTATGACTGTACGAGAAGATGAAGTGGTAATTGTTGAGAAGCCAGGTGGTGACAGAGTAGTAGAACATGCTGATGGTACCAGGATCACAACATTTTATGAAAAATGTGAAGACCTTTCTGTGAAGACCTTTCCACACCTTAGAATGGAAACAGGTAACATCTAAAGGGGAGCACTTATTTTTCTTGTACTTGACATATCTTATAAAGCAGAAAGTTGTCAAAATATATACTAAAGGTGGCTTATACCAGTAGCCTAGAGAATAGATCCACTAGTGCAGTCTAGGCTTAGTTTGTTTGCTTCCTTTCAGCAGTATATTCAATGCAAAAGTTATACTGTTGCAAGTAATTAAATGTCCTTCTTTCATATCTATATGGTCATCCTTCACCATGAAACCACAGTGCCAGAGTTTTAGTGTGTTCACTGTCCTCTCTCCACCTGCCCTAATAATAACAAGGAAGCTTCTTTGAGCTTTAACTGAAGAGGTATGAAGGGATCAAGGCATCTTTATATTCCCTAGTGAAGCCATGGACTCACCAACCTTGGAGATACTAAATATCTGAATATAGCTGTGGAAAATGTCCTGCCAAGAAAAGTGAAACTTATATTTGCCTGATATAAATGGGGCTAAAGGTCATCTGTCTTTCTTCTGGCTGGTGTTTTACTCTGTATAGCTGCTTCATTTGCAAGACAAGCCCTGTCCTCCTTAATTAAAATGAAGGGGACACATTTACTGTGTGGGTGTCTGGACTGTTCAAACACAGTGTAGGAAAAGACCATTACTGAGTTAGCAGATGTTCAGGAACATCTCCCTGTGAGATTTTAAAAGTCAAAATCCCTTGAACTGACCTATCTCTTCAATGAAAAGGCAATAACCAGATTAACATGCCTGTTTTCATTTGTTTTCCAAGATTTGTGTTGCTGAACAGGAATTTCTTCACATTTTAGAGCTTGTATTACAGGCACAAAGAATTTCAGTGATCCAACTTGTATATTACAAATATCCAGATCATTATGGTTAATACCATACTTGATACATTGGAGTGTACTTTCCTGGCCAGCTACAGATGATTACAGATATTTTTTATCATTGGGTTTTCCTATATTGAATTTGCAGTCCAGAACTTCAAAGGTTGTATATTGTTTACATAACATAAAAATATGTGATAAAGGATGCTATGATGTTTATGAAGGTCTTGCACTGAAGAGATAAAGACCAGCACTATGAGAGTGAAATTGAATCCTAGGACATTTCCATTATTCATGTGCTCCTGTCTCATTGTTCTGTATTAATTCTTAGATGAGCCCTCAGAAGCCATCACAAAGAAGCTTAAAGGTACACAAGTAGAGAATCCTGAGTTTGCTACTGTTATAACAAATTGTGAGGATGGTACCTGTTGTACTATCTTTGGAGATGGGACATCTATTCTAGCAAAACCACAGGGAACATATCAGGTGGGAATTATTTTTAGTTTGTCACAGTGACCTTTAATCTTTGTGTTTCAAGTCCCCTGCCATTAGCTGCTCTCACCTTCATTACCTACCTTCTCTATAGTCTTCACTAATCCTATTATTCTATCTCTTTCATACTCTGCCAATGTTTAGATACTTACTCACAAATCTACAGTATATTTAAATAACAGTCTTAAATTTCCTGAAGTTAAATATTACAGACACTCAGATCAGCCTACCTCTTGGACCTCATCTTCCTTCTTTCTCCCCCTTTGATTCCTCTAAAGTGGATGATTCAGTATTGAATATCTGAAAGCTGTTCTTTTCATTTGTATCTGTTCTTCATTTTCACAGTACCTTTAAATTAAAATTTTCACCTTTGAGGATTGAATCTCTTCCCTTTTTGCTGTCATAGGTTTTACCCAGCAAGGGAGGCTTTCTTTTCATTGATGAAGATTGCTCAGCAGTTTACAGCCATGAAGTCTATGATTCCAGCAGCAAGGAAGGAGAGAAACAAGCAGGGAGATACATTATGAAACACACTTCCAGCACTATTTGTGAGATGATGGATCCTGAAGGAAATACTTTCAAGGTAAAATACATGGAAGAAAACAAGTTTCTGCATTCTAATTTTATCTTATAAACTTCTCTCAAAGTAAAATTGTAATCTTGTAATATCTAAAGTAGCCAGAATCAGGTCTCTGAAATCTTCTTGACTAAGTGATGAATATCCTTTTTAATAAATTTTTCCCTATTTAGAGAGACTGAAATAGAACATGTGGTGTACAATTTAGCTCACCTGTAAAGTTCTTTTAATTAGCATGATTTGTACTATAGCAAAAAATCAGCTCTGCAAGTGAAGATTAAAAATTGAGTGTGTCAGATTCAGTTCATGGACTGTCCTTTGAATCACCCTTATTTAAATTGTATCTTGAAAAAGGCATTATTATTTCTTTTTATGTAATTGTTAGTTATTGTTTGAATATGTTAATATTCTTTTGTTTGAATATGTTAATGTCACATTTGTTAATAAGCACATAGTATTTTCTAGAAGGAAAATACTGTAGAAGTTCACTTAGTGGGTATACATCAGTGTCCATCTTGAGTATAGTTACCTGGCTTGACCAGGGAGTATTTTTGTGTAACAATCCTTGGGAATTTATTAAATATCAGCATGTGATATTATATAAATATCAGCATGTCTTTTGAGAAATGTTTTGGGGGATTTTTGTCTTTTCAGGTTTTTTTTATTTCTTTTTCCTGTGAGTTTCCAGTTGCCCAGCATGAAATGTGTTTTTCTGTCTCTCACTGGGCTAGGTTATGTTAAAGTTCAGCAGCAAGTCACTATTTGAAAAGAATCTTTTAACTCAAGTAATTTCACATAATTTCTGCTATAGGTCCTGGCAGATGGCAGCACAGATGTGTGCATTCCCAGCATGGGCTCTGAGGAGGACAGAAGTTCAGCAGCAGATGATGTCAACAAACCTATCACTGATGATGAGCATGTCCCCAGGTAAACTGCATTGTATTCATAGGTTAAGACTTTCTTTTCCTCACTACACAGTATTTTACAGGGTTAATGGATTTGTGCTCCCTTTGTTCAGTACTCTGTATCTGCACATTTGATGCCATCATGTGGGAGTTCTGCTTTCTTGATACAGCCCCATGTGTGTATTTGGCTGTGCAGGTTTTTCATCATCTCTGCGGATGGTTCTGGAACGGAGCTCCTGCGAGAAAAGGATGTACACAAGTACATGGCTGAGGCCTGCAGTGATCCTGCCACTGCAGTTTTGCAGGATCCTGTACAAGAACAGCCAGGTAGAAAATGTTTCTTCTCTGACAGACTACCAATAGAAAGAATTTAAAAGCTTCAAAACTCTTATTTGGGCAGGAAATGTTTATACCCTTGTAAACAAGGGTTCACACTTCTAGGAGTGAAAGAAAGGAGTTTGGGGGAAAACTCTGGGAAGCAGAGAATTAACTGAAGGACACTGTTAAGGGATAAGTGAACAAACAAATGGCATATCTTTATCCACTCTCAGTCACACAAATAAAAGTGATTATGAAATAAATATATTCTTTGTGTTTATCATTTAAAAAATTGAATGTTCTCACAGTCTCCATTAATGATGTAGCAATGAGGACAGTGATGCCTGATGTTGACCTTTAGCCTGTCTGTTGGAAAGGATACATATTAAAAAGCTGAAAAGACATGACTGGATTAGCCAGTACTACATGGTACCAACCACCTTGCAGCAACAATGCAAGAAATTATGTCCTGGAATTGTTGGTTGTCATTGTAAAGGTAGTTGGAGATGCTGTGTTTCTATAAAAGACACTATGGTGTAACAGGTAGATGCTAACAAAAATATATCTTTAAAAGAAAGTATGGTCCTCCTGGATATGAGGGGATGATAAGGGAAGTTTGCTTCAAGACATAAAGTCCTAAGACATATTTCTCATAGATTTATGTCATAAGCCTATGACATAAAACAGCTTTCCCACTTACTACTCTTATAAGTTGTGGCACATTTTTAAATGTACTTCTATTCACACAGAATAAAAGAATATTTGCAGAAACCAAATTAAATAATTCTGCCACGGGAAAAAGAAAAAAAGAAGGGACATGGAGGGAGCCAGCAAAATGCAGAAGATGAAAATATCAGAAGGATGGAGAGCATACATACCCAGTCAAAATCCCAGTCAAGAAAATTTACTTACAACCAGCAAGCATTTTTAATAGTAGCACATCTGATTTTCCAGACTTCCTGCTCCACCTTTCACAATACTGGCTCTATTTGCCTTGACAACAAGGCTTCACAATTTTGTATCATTGTGACAGAGTACATCAGTGGTGATATCTATTTTGAAGGTCACCTGTGGGATAGATAATAGTTGATTAAGTAATTTTTGGGTTGGTCTGGAAAAAATATTTTGAAGAACATTAAAATTTATGCAAACAATACAAATAAATAATATCTAATGGAATCCATCCAGCGATCAGGGCATTAAGTATAAAATACAGTGAAGAATTATGCATGTTCTGAATATGTTGTACTGCTTCTGAGATTAGTATGCAGTACACATGGGTCAGTGCTCTGCTCTTCCTTGTTTGGGCTACTCCCCACACTATACAACTGAGTTGTTAACCAAGAATCAGAGCAAGTAGCATAAGCAGTTTATTGTTAAAAATGGGCTGAGTAATTTCAACTATTCTACAGCTATTCTATAATCAACTCAATGATCTGATATTATCTGTAGCCATGGATACATGGAGTTTTATCTATTAGTTGTAAGATTTTTTGTAGATAGGTGTTTTTTTCTGTAGGTCTGAGACACTTCTTTTTTTTTTAATTGGAACTGACTCTTAGCAAAATGTGTCTTTAAACCAGGTGTTTTAAGTATTACTATCCTCCACCCTATGGCTGAAGAATCCCCTTGGGTAATGAAGAAAGAACCAGAGAGTATTGTTCCTCCATATCTACAGTCAGGGACTCAGAAAGAATCTTCTCCTCCTGAGGTATAATTGTTTCAAAAGTGTCCTTTCATGTTAAACAATAGATGTTTGTCTCTGTGGGGAAATGAAGCTCTAAACAACATGAATGTTAAATTCAGTTCATTAGGCAGACAGAACAAAGGGTAGATTGTGTCAGGGAATGTATGGTCCCATTCTTTTACACTTAGGGGACATAGCAATTTTAAGGAGAGTTTATCTTATCATTTGAAGATGAAAGATAGATAAATTGTTCCCAGGAATTTTACTGTCTTTATTGTCTAGGTCTATGATTCTATAAGCAGAGCACACACTTTTTAACTGAGACACATTGCCAATAGCTGCATTTTTGGGTAATGTAAGAAGACACTTGCTCTTTTTTGTTTGCTCCTCTCTGTTCAGGAGGAGATCACAGGTCACCCAATCAGAAGGTGGGTCTGGAAGAGTCTCGGCATTGGAGCAGCACATTTGTCCTTGCCAGTCCCTGTGCGAAAATGTCCCCAAAAACTGCAAATCCGCCAGTTATTCCAGTATAAGCCACTCTGTGATGAACTAAGAGAAAAACTGCAGCTTTCCCTCAAGGTAGTTCAGCCACATTTATTCATTTGTCCAGTAAGAAATAGCTAACAAACAAGTAGACAAACTGGGTGTGATAAATGTGTAGTATTTACCTGAGAAAAAGAAATCTACTGTGCTTGAAGAACAATTATATCATACAGGTGCTGTGTTTTTCTGAAAAAGTTCAATTGTTTCACTTACCTCTTATGAAACCTAGTTTTCTGAGCAAATGCATGAGATCCAATCCAGTATACATCACAGAGGGTACTCTAACATATCATTTCCTTGCCGTCAACATTGATATCTGTTACTTCATTTTTATTTTGCTTAGGGTTTGTTTTCCTCCAAAAAGTCTTAAGAATTTAAATCTATAAAGCTAAACAAGAATGTCTAGCTCACCATAATTCTACAGTTAACTTCATCACTGAGACACACTGTGGTCTTGGTTATGTGTTTGTTTTCATAAATCAATGTAGAACATTTCCAGGTTTCAGTCTGAGTTTTGTTACTCTGTCCATGTCTAGGAAATAGCTGTGTATCCTTTTGACAAGGTTTGTGGCCATCCCTCATTAGTGACTGGTTCATAGCAGGGTGCAAGCTAGTCTTCCTGTGCCAGTGTTTTAAGATGGTGTCCAAAAGTCAGCAGCTTTGCCCTTCTCAGTGTTGGTGTAAAACATTCATTTATTTAATTCACATTGTGAAGATGGTCTTAGAAGAGATTTTAGAGTCAAAACCCCATTATTACTTAAGAATTAGAGAATAACAATATATATGGTCCTGTAATTTATTCATTTAACTTATTTTGATAATGACATTGCAGACTAAATTAGAAAGTTAACAGCATGTGAAATGTGTGAAGGTAGTAGGATATTGTAGCCGTTTATATAATTTATTTTTTCCCCACATTACATTTCAAAGAAAACATGCTTGCAGTAGGAAAACACTGACAGCTGTCCAGCCCAGACATGGATTGTTTGGGATATGCAATTCTATCAGAATGAAATTTAACCAGTTTTTAAGTATATATATATATATATATATATAAATATAAATTATTCTTTAATTTGCATACTGACCTTTCAAAGGCAACAGTGTAAGAAAAGCTCCACACTAAAAATCTACACTAAAAATGCAAGGGAAGTCTCTTCATAGCCCAGATCTATTGTTGATTTTTAAAGAAAGTTGAATGCTGTTTATTACATTGGGAAGGAAGAACTGCAATTATTAGCACTGAGAAAACAGTTGTAATAATTGCATAAATGTGCAATGAAAATACCCTCATTGCTCATAAATCAGTATTTAATTAGTTCTTTTTTATCCAGAATGAAGTATCTTAAATCTTTAGCCACACCTTCACTTTGTCAGAGCAAAATCAAGATTTAAGGAAAATATTATTCTTCTTTTCTCCATCTCCTATAAGATTAAAGAGAGATAAACAAGTGATAAAGAACTGGCACTTGAAACAGATTGTTTCTACAAACTTGTCTGTTAGCAATGTTCTGTACCATATGTAGCTTTCTGGCAGTGGTGTGTTTAAAACCTTTTTTCTATCCAACTGATTTAAAGAGATGTAGGAAAAGAAATGTGCTTCTTTTCTGTAGCAGTTGGTATGATTATGTCAATGTAAATATCTATTTTAAGCCTACATCTGCATCTTTCTTCTTCTTTTTCATTGTTCCACCAGGAATATATGGACAACATCTTAAAGCAGGAAAATGAGCTGGAAGAGATGAATGTGAAAGAACCAAGAACAGAAGAGGAAAAGGAGAATGCTGCAACTCTCCTTGAACAGGTTACAGTGAGAAAAATCAAATTTTTAACTACTTTTTTCAATAAAACCCTTGTATAGCATTGGAAGTGTGAGCCTTGAAACACATTATCCATTAATAAACCAGCAAATGTCAGAGTAGCACAGTGCCAGTTAATGGTAGAGCAGAGCCACACTCAGCCTTCAGCTGGTCTGAATTCAGCAGGGCACTGCTGCCATTTGGGGAAGCAATGATCAAAACAATTCAAGAGTCTGGCTCTATTGAATTATATGTTTCCAAACACACAGACCAAAATTACTTTCCAGTAATTTACTTTTTTTAATATTCCCCAACATCAGGATGAAAATGTTTCCAGTCTGTTGTCATTGCACATGGGAGACTTTTATTTCAACCACAGCCATCCCATAGTAAGAATTTAAACCCTGCTTTTGGGATAATACAAAAACAGTCTGGAGAAATATTGTTATTACTGCTGAGCAGCATTTTGGGCTTTTTTTAATATAATCTGTAAATTTTCAGGGATAATTAGAGCACAAAAAGGAGATGAATAGGTAATGGGTAAATAGAGAAGAGGATTGCAGCTTTTCTGGAAGGAGGGACAAATAAATGATCTGTCAGTAATTCCATCTGCATCTATCCTCTGGGCAGACATTTATTTACTTTGATGACACCCAGGTGCTGAACCTCACATGCTGCTCAGATCCAGTGAATTTCTCTAGTGACTAATTATTGTTCATTGTCCTGGCTACCTTCAGCACCTGCATTTCCAGTTACAGATTTCACATTAGACAACTCTTTTGTGAGCAGCAGTCTCAGTGTGCACCTGCTGTGACCCAGGAATCAGTGTCACATTTCTCCCAAGTCTACAATAGCTCCGTTACAGCCCAGACTGCCTGGTCAGGAACTCTGGTTTCCAGTTACCTGCTTCAGAGGCAGCATGAGAATAAAGGAAACACTTTAGAGCCTCTTAACCCTCATTCACTTTACTGTAAGCCAGCCACATGAGAATTCCTCAGTCACAAAGCCTGCAAATTCCTGAACACATTTTCCATTTGACTTGTTGGGAATCTAAGTTTAATACAGTATAAATATATCTTGTTCAGATTTTTTGTTTTTTGTAGAAGGATTTGAATTTGATTAGGAATTAGCTTATTTGACCTATTAAAAAGTAACCATATAAAATACAAAGCTATCTGTGCAGTGGGTCATCAAGAATGAAACAAATATCTGTTTAGAACAGGGAAATTGTACTTCATATCCTGTTTTCCTAGCTTATGTTTTCTGACACACTGAAATACCTGACAATGTGACTACAGGAATAGGGATAACACGATAGCACTTGCTTACAATATAAATGCTTTGAATAAGATGTTGTTGTTGTGAATTTTATTCTCATGTAGTCACAGTTATTCCTTCTTCATTGCAGTCCTTCCCTGACTGGGAGAAGTCAGTTGAAAAGCTCAGTGATAGAGGTAATAAAAATTGAATACCTGTATTTTTAAAATTTAAAATATCATATGTTTAAAAGAATTGTAATATTTTTAAATAGGGACTATAAAGGTGAATCCATCTATGTGCTATATACATGCTTCTGTGTGACTTTCACAGGTAATTAGGACTTTTTAGCATCAATGATCCAGTACCTCTGAAAAATAATTCCTGGTTTTAGGCATATGTATTTGACATTTTGACTCACTTTTTGATATGTAGAAGTATATGTTTTTTTTTTTTGTTATATATATATATATATATATATATATATATATATATATATATATATATATCCTTAAGAATATATAGGTATAAGAACTATACAATACTTGTATAGTTTAGGTATTTCTTAGATATAAGAACTTTCTTAGTTCTTAGGTAAGAGACTTAGGTCTCTAGGTATAAGAACTATGACAATACTTGGCTACTTTTATGCAAGTAACAATTTTTCAGACAAATTTTTCATAGCAAATAAGTAAATCCTGGTTATTTATTATACTTCAAAATCTAATCTCAAACCATCATATGTTGGGGTTACATTAATCTACCTAAGGGAAAAGATGGAGCAATGTATCATGGATTTCAGTTAAAGTTTTCACAAGCTATTTATTAACATTGATCAATGTTTTCAATATGTACAAATAAAAGTTAAAATGTCTGTTTCTTTATAAAAACCCATAAGCCTTTTCTGTAGAAAAAATCATTACATTCTATCCCATAATGATGCTCATCTTTAAAGTGTTATTTTTCTGCCCTTCATATCTTGTCAAGAGTATTTGTACTTGTCAAAAAACCTCAACTGCTGCAACAAATACTTGCTGGACAGTTTCCTCTTAAATGGAGCTGCAATTTTAATTTAATATTGCTAATGAAGAAGATAGTGGGAAAGAAACGATCTTTGAAATAGGTAAAAATAAAAAAGCTGAAAAATAAAATCATATTTTATGGTGAAAAAGCTGATTTAAAAAAAACCCCACATTTTGAAGTTTGAACTTATGTAGTTCCCAGAACACTAAGACATATTGTCATAATCTAATAGAATCATATCTCTCAAATACTCACATCTCCTAAATTTTGCCACAGAAAATTGTTTTCAGCCAAGGAAACTTCTTTGGACCCATGATTTAGCTTCAAGGTATAAAGTAAACAACACACTTTATAAAATATGTCAGAGGACAGGGCAACTCTTTAAGAAAGCCCCAGAGCTGGTCACAAGATTAAATGTGGAAAGGCTGGCATTTCTCCATTGTACATATTGAACTAGTAGTTCCTTCCATGAGAATGTTGATTATGGCTGCTTCACAGCCTCAATTAAGCACAAGCGAGCTTAAGCAAGCTAAATGTAATAAGGGTCCCTGAAAGCCCACGTTATTTTCTTCAGCTGTAGATAGAGACCTCAGAACACCCCAGTTAGAGAGTGGCTGAATGTCAGCAACTTTTCCTATTCACAGGTATTTGTATCTTGAAAGAATATAAAAATATGTCAGGAAATACAAGGTGAGAGTGTGAACTTAATCTGCTTCTTGTCCTTCCAATACTGAATTCAATTTCTTATCTGTTAATGTTCTGATCTTGTTTTTGGGATGAAGTTCCTTCTGCCTTTTCCCTCATGGTAACAAAAACTCTGTTAGGTTTCCATAAAGTGGCAAGAAGATGCATTAAAAATACATCCTTTGGTGTTTTTTCTTGGTAACACCCAGCACTGGGTAGCAGAGCACGCCCATTCAGTAATGCCCTTCACCTTGCAGCCCACGTGAGGCAGCTGTATGAGCAGGCAGTGACACCTCCTGCCAAGGGCCACACAAGGAAGACAAGCACTGCCCAAGGAGAGGAGCAGCAGCAGAGGTAGGACAGTATTGTAAATGCAGGAAAACCCAATGGGAAGAAATGACAGTGTCTGACTCAATTCAGAAGGCTGAATTATTTCTTTATTATAACTATGCTAAAATACATTAATATACTATATAAAAGGAGGATACTGAAACGACATACTGCTTTCTATGACTCTATCTCTAAACCTCCCACAACTCATGACCCTCTCTCGAGAGTCCAGCCCCAGGTGGGTTGGATTGGCCATCAGGCTCAAACAATCCTCACCAGAATCCAATCAAGCACTCGCTCCAGGTAAACAATCCTCCAAACACATTCCACATGAGAAAATCAAGGAGCAGAAATAGAAATGGTTTTCTCTTTCATTTCTCTCTGTGCACCCCTATCAAAAATCCTAAGAGGGAGAGAAATGTGCTTGCCACAGGACAGAGTAGTGACGACTAGTGCAAATGTAAATAACACAAAGGGTGAACCCAAGCACACACTAGATCCCTAGATACATATGGCAGTGTTTTACTCTCTTGTCCTGTGATTATTTTGTCCCTCTATGCCTCTTTTTCCTTCTCTGAAAGATAATTCAAAGTTTGTTGGGAAAGGATTTTGGATGTTTCTTGGATTTAATGATCTAATAAAAATGCAGATAAGAGGAAACACTTCTGTGCAAACCATACAAGTCAAAGTCAGGAACCACCTGAGATGTTTACATAACATACTCTCATAAAAACCATTTTCTTTCCAGGGTTATCTTGTAAATATTTTTGCATTTATAGAAGATTACTAGTTTTCTCATTACCACTACTCTCTCTTTTTTTCTTCTGGGTGATTCAGTCCAGAAGGAGTAATATCCAAGTGGCAAAGCAAACTGGAGCAGAACAGGTAATAATATTAGTAGGATCAAGGTCTTTTATGAGCCTGCTTAATCTACTTTTGTAAAAATGTTATTTATTTCATCAGGTCTTGGATGATGGTGCAATGGCTTGTCTGCAAATAATGGGGTATTTTCTGCTTAAAAGAAATGCTGAATAAATGGTTTGAGTCTCTTTCTTTTTTCTTTTTTTTTCTTTTCAAAACCCAGCATCATTACTGTGAACTTACACTATGCAAACCAAGGCTGAGGTCAGAAGCCCTGTGTTTTTTTTTTCTGGTTCTGCCACTAGTATAGAAAATACAGTATATTAATATTTTCAAATGCTCATGCTTTAAGTTAATATTCAGGTATTCCACAAATGAAAGCTGATTTTTTCAAATAGAGCCCCAGACATGTCTCACGTGGTGGTGCTTCCAAGCTTCTCTAGGCAAAACTGTCCCAGCTCTCTCAGCCTCTACTCACATGAAAGATCTCCCAAACCCTTAATCATCTTTGTGGCCCTTCAGTGCACCAGACAGGTCAAAAGTGGACACAGCACTCCATGTGAGGCTTTCCATATTTCTTGTTAATTATATTCTGATTTGCATAAGATAAAAAAGCATTTTAGAATTTCAGAGTTACATTTTAATATAGCATTTCACACTGGTTTGGATCCTATTAAAAATAATTTAAATATATAAATCTGAGCAGTCAGCACCCAAGAACATTATGTGCAATTCTGGCTCTAAAAACAGTGTTAAAACTCTCAGTATGATTAAGACTGATCATTTCATAGCTGATACTAGACCCTGCAAGTCAGTGAAATTCTAATAGTGTAAAATTGGGCTATAACAAGCTGAAAACATGACTGATCTTTACTCTGGTGAACCTTACCTTCAGAAGTTTGAACAGCTTCTTCTGTATCCACACAGCCTTCAAGTCTTTCTGTGATAAAATAAGGAAATTATATGAGTTTTGTGTTCAAAATTTTAGCAATGCATCTGGAATACCAATTCTTAGCTTGAAATGTTTGTTGGAAGGTTGGAAAGCCACCAGTGGCAATCCCAGGCATGTTCCATGAGGTTTAGAGAAATGGGGTATGTTCTGAGGAGGAGCTCCTCATAGCAGGCAACTCACTGTCCATGTGCATTACCAGTCAATTCTTAATTCACCTCCAAGAAAATTGCCAATTACAAGAATATTACTTCAAGTGATGAACCAGGGAAGAAAATGCCACTTGCCTTTACCATTTCTTGATGCACAGTACTGAAAAACAGGGTGAACTCAGTTATAATGCTTTTTTCTTTCTTTCTTTTCCTTACCAACAATGTGAATAATATCCCTAGGAAAGAACTGGATGAACAGAAGGCTACATTTGCAGCAATAAAAAACAGAATTTTTGCTCCATATTTTGAATCTGAATTCAGCAAAGACTTTTACCAAGAAAAGGTAATGCAGCTGAAAACTGGATGAAGTCTGTTAGGCCAGTTAGTATCTCCCATGCTCCCAAAGACAACTCTGAGTTTATATCTCAGCCTCTGTTTATCTCAACAAACCATTACAAAAGACAAACATAGAAGAATTAATCAGAAATTATAAGCCCTTGTAAAGGAAACCCATCTTGAAGATGGTATATGTTCACTGAGTACAAACTCTGTAAAATTCCTTACATAAACTCTGGAGAGATGCTGATTCAGAGCACAGCTCAACCTCATGGCTTTTTTACTTAACTCTCAAATCCCTCTCCTTGCTTATTGGAAAGGGAATAAGTAAAACTAACACTCCTAATTTAGAGGTGATCTTGGGGCCTTTTCTACTGGTAAATGCTGTGATGCATAAAGCCTACTCAGAAATGTAGGTTGTAATCTCATGTAACTATTACATCTCCTTTATAGTCACCACTTTGGTCCTGGTTATTTGTTTTCTTTGCATTCCTTTTTTTTAAAATTTTTTCCTTTCTTTTTTTTGCAAGGGGAGAAGGGTGTCTGCTGTCTGGTTTTCCTAGGTGTTTAGCTAGGAAATCTAAGCTCTCTTTCTTCCTTTTCTCCAGTTTCCTGATTTGGAAGCAATGTCTAAGAAACTTCCTCCACTTCAAAAAGAAGAATGTATGACTTGCCCTCTGTTGCTGATAAGAGAACCCAGTGGAGGTAATCCACTGTCTGACATTGGTTTTGTACCTTCTTCAGGAGGGAGAAGCCCTTGCAGACATCATTGAATGTGGAAGAACCATCAGCTTTGGATGCTAAGCTGAAGAATTCTGCTATGAATGACAAGTGGATAGATAAAAAAATGCTGAAGAAAAACTTGTTAGGGGTGGATAAGCAAAAACCAAGGAGGCCAAGTTTAGAAAATAACTAGTATGACTGTAGGAAAAATATGGGAGATTTATTTCTGAAGCTCAGTGGTAAGAGAGAACTGGAACAAAAGCAATATAAAATAGGAAACATGCAGGTTAAATATAGACTGGAGGACATAGGAGGAAAGCAGTGACTCCATGACAGGAAGCAGGGAAAGATGGAATCATTATCTTAGGCTTCAGCTTTTTAGAACTGAGAAGAATACTTCAGTTCTTTTAAAAATCAGCCCTGACAAGTTACTGAAACCATACAGTGAGATTAAAATTCATAGACAGCAAAGATTCATATCAGGAAAATAGTCCTCTGTGGGGTTTTGTCAGACCCCCACTAATTCCCATATTTCCTCATTTTCTATCACCATAAGACTTCTGCTGGAATTGTCTTTTAGTCCTTTATGGTTTATAGTTCAGTTAGCCAGAGAACAAGAAATGACTAATCACACAATAGGCATTTTTGAGATCCCTGTGGCCCAGTAGAGCAGAATGTCACATGCAGAATTTTCCCAGCCTCTCTACATGCTTATGTAGACAGCTTTCCAAGATTGTGTCAATTAAAGTGCCAAAGGCTGATGTTTTTCACGTTTATGAAAATGATGGTGATCATAAAAAATACTTGACTCAGTATTCCATTATTTTCCCTTTAGCAGCTGAATTTCCTGATACCACAAGTGATTCATCACTTTCATCTGGCCTTCCACTGCAGGGTCCTTCCAAACAAGATGATGGTTCCAGCAGCACAACAGGTACACCTGCCTTCCAGAATGTAGTTGGAGCAGCTTGGTATCTTTTTATAACTTCTGACACAATATTTGCAATACGAATTTCAATCCATCTGTCACTTTTTCATGTTTTTGGAAATCTTTCCCTTCCAGACCTAAACAAGGCTGCAAGAGCAGAAGAGACAGCCTTTCAACATAAAGTTCCAATTCTGATGGTGGATGTTACAGGACAGACAAGAAAAAAGAAAGTAATATTACCATCATACCTTCAGGGGAAAAAACCAAGTACCATACCAAATAAAAAGGTAAAAAAATAACATCTTTCTTGACAATATTCATATATCTTCTGAGTCATCTCTTTTCTGTAAAATCTTCGCCCTGGAGCAGTACTGGGAGGTATTTTGAATCTATTTACTGTAACATAGCTGTTACAATTTATTTATGTTTATTGGCAATTCTAGAAGTACCTTTCCTCTCAACAGCTAGGAAAAACTCATTCTGCATCAGCCACCTACATGAAAGCTCTGTTTCCAAAAGAGCAGAGCTTCCCTCATTTTCCCTGAGACGCCTCAATGGCTTAATACATCTGAAAACTCAAACTAGTATAAATTTCCAGACAGTATTCAAAGTGCTGCTTCAGTTTTTATTCGAATTAGGATATCTTTTTGTAATTCTTCAGGGTGAGTTGGCAGAGGTCAAATATAGGTTAAGCAATTCTCTACCTGTAATTCTCTACCTACCCCAGGCCAACAAAACAGCCACCAACTTTCTCTTTGTCTCATATTTTGTTTGCAAAGATAGAAGATCCTGCCTCAGGAAAGGTCAGCATATCCTCTCTTGCGACAAGACAGGATCTTACCAACTTCCATCTCATCCCACCCAGGGTGACATTTGGAGTGCTAAAGGAAGGCTGCACCTATGCAACCACTGTAATCATGAAGAATGTTGGTGTGAACTTCTCAAGGTTAGTTTGAATTCTTATTACTCTGGTTTTTATCTCTACAAATAGATCCTGACAAAGATCAAGTACAGTTTCTCTGGACCCACCACTCAAAGAAAGGAATTCTGACAGCCACTTCATAGGTCTGCCAGAACCTTCCATAAGATGGAGCCATATCCTAGGAATGCCTCTTCTACTGCCTTTTGTTTAACAGATGGTGCTAGGGCATGCTGGTAAACTCTTCTTCATGGGGGAATGAAATCCACAGGATCAGTTCCAGAGCAATGCAAAAGTGTAGGTCATATCTGCTCTAATGATTTTTAAAAATCTGAACAGTAGGAAGTTGCATTCACATAAGGACTAAATCTCAGATGTGAAACAATCAGTAAGAAATGAGGAAGCAAAACTTCTGCTTTAGTTGGTACCATTTAATTAAAGATTATTTGCCCAAAATTCATACAGTATCATGCTTTCTGCAATAGAATCACATCAAAGGACATTAAATAAAGATTGTTATGGACTTTTGGGTCTGCAACACAAAGATGTTTGCCAAGAAGATGTTTGTACTTCAGCTACCTTTGAATTGTGCAGACTTAAAATGATGCTGTTACACATTCTGTTATAAGGACCAGGCAGTGTTAACAAGTTCTTTGAAAGCTTACTTTGGCCCCTTCATCTGCTCCTTTGGGGATTTTTTGTTAGAAACCTGAACCTTGGCAAGAAGCCCAGGAATACTGCTGTAGTCCAATATGTACATTATGATGGAAAAGATGAGCTAAGAAATTCTGCTGTCATTTTAAAAAGCAGAGGAAGAGCAGGCAGCCTAGATGTGATTTCTCCCACCTGAAACAGTTTCTGGCAAACTGATTCTCTTCTCTTTCTGACAGGTTTCGTGTGAAGCAGCCACCTCCACACACAGGACTGAGAGTGATGTACACGCCAGGACCTGTAGGTTACACAGGAGAGCTTTTGGATTTTTTTCTAGACTCAGCTGGCCCTCAGGCTAGCTAGGGCACCTTTCAAGGACAGCAGCTGTCTGGGAATAGAGCTGCCAGGGTACACAGTTTTGTGTAAAGTTACTTGAAGTGATGCTGTCTGCTACCTTCAGCTAAGCACTCCATGCACTCCTGTCTCAGCCTGTGCAAGAATGCAGAGGGATACAAATTTTAAGCTCAGTGGAAAGCAGTAGGTCAAGCAGTGAAGCTACAGAGAGCTTTTTCAAAGCAAACAGGATTATTCTACCACTCAGATGCCTCTGAGTTTTCCTTCTGCTTACGATGTTTGCTATATCTGCTCTGTCTTATGCCTAGACTTGACTTACTATCCTGATACCTTCAGGATGTGACCCTAGTAAACTATTGACTCAGTCCTTTCTTCTCCTGCTTCCAACTGTTCTCCACATTTTTATCTAGCAAAGCACCACAGCACATTAAATTATCCCACTAAGTAGGAAGCTTTCATGCTTTCTGCTTTTGTTCAGTGTCTCTTTTTACCTGCATGCTATCTCTGAATAAATAGTGCTGGCCACTGTTCCCACAGCATCCATGTGATATCATTGGCCATATCTTGTCAATGCATGGAATCAAGAAGCAATGACTTTTGCAGAGAGGCAGTGCCAGAATACAAATCAAACCTCCTAGTCCAGAGCCTTAGCCACAACACAGTACTTGAAATCATAGGATAGTGTGGGTCGGAAGGAATCTTTAAAGGACCCAGTTGAGAAGGAAGGATGGTATGGGGGACTGTGTCAAAGACCTTGCAGAAATACATCTAGATGGCTGGAATAATTTCCATTCTTTTCTCCTCACATCTGCCCCTTTTGTACCTCCCTACTTTATGTTCTTTTTAGAACAGAATAAAATATTTTATTTTGTTTCATTTGGAAGGGACCTACAATGCCCCTCTAGTCCAACTGCCTGACCACTTCAGGGCTCACCAAAAGTTAAAGCATAGTATTAAGGACACTGTCCAAATGCCTCTAACACTGACAGGCTTGGGGCATCAACCACCAAGGACTGGTGGAGGGGACCATGTATGAAACTTGCACCTTACCTGAGTCATTCTTTGTCTCTCCTAGGTGGCAGCAGGCTTGCAGGTTGCACTGGAGATAGAGATTTTTGCCATGCTAATTGGAGGGAAAGACACTGGTGGCCTTGAAGAAGTTTCCCATGATATTGAGATATTAACAGAAATTGAAACTCTTCTCCTGCCTGTGAAAGCAAATATCCTTTCTTGTCTTATTTTTCACATACACCTCATAGCATCAACCCTGGGAATCATCTTTCTATTGGGAGCCTCAAGCATTGTTTCCAGTGCAGGCTGCTGCAGTAGCAAGCTTTACTGTCCTTTTCAGAAATACACAAATGGGTGTTTTCAAAAGCACAACAAATGAATAATTTAAGATTCTGATGCCAAATGCAGTTTCCATCAGAATAATGTGGTTGAAAAGTGGAGAAAAGAACGGCAACCCCAAAAAATGTCGCTTGTAAAAACTAAACGTTATAGGAACTCTTTCCCACCCCCCCTCGTGAAAATACTTTATTATGTTTTTGATTCTGTGGTAGCATCTGATGGTACAGCCTCATGAGCAACAAAATGATGTATCATCCAGATACTAAACAGGCAAATGGGACAATCCCTGCAGGAGCAAAGATGCAAACACAGAAGTGAATGAATGCTGCCAGAAATGAGCCTGTGTGGGTTCAGTGGGCTTTTCAGTTGTTTAACTCATGACAGCAGTACAGTAAAAGAAAAGAGCCAAGTCAATAGCTATTATTTCTATTTCCCTTGTGCTCCAGGTGAAGTTCTGTTTGACATTTAATCAAATTTACACTTAGAAGTCTGGGAGAAGAGATCCTCTGGACACCTATAAAGAAATAACAAGGCAAGCTACATCCAAACATGCCAGGAACTTCATTCAGAGTAAGGACCACCCTTTACCAAAGAAAGGAGAACTTCAGGGTACTCTGCACCTGACCAGAGTAACAGCAACTCTTCTGAAGATTTGTATGCTCTGAATGTGATGTTGAAACTCCCCAAATTTATTTGCATTGACCCAAAGAAACCTTTCATGCCTACAATTGCTGAACTGAGCTAGACAGGACTAGTGGCATAGCAGCAAAACCAGCTGCACTTCTGTTCCCATTCACCCAGTCCTCTGACACAGTTGCAGACCAGCCTCCAAAACGTGCCCTTCCCCCATATTTTAGCTGTTCTTTTAATCTTTCAGCTGAGGCCACTAGTCCAGATGCAAGATGTTTCACAGCTTTACTTCCAGAATTCATTCCTACCTCCACATGTTATTTTACTCAAATAAATGTACCAAATGGTTATGTCCTTAACATGACATCTCACCTGTGCTATCCAGTGGCATTTATGAGTGCCGCCCAGCAGGATACCCCCAGGGAGGGATGGCAGCAGCAGTCCAGGCACTTCCTACCAGCCCCAAGCCACGGCTACGGATTACACTCCCACGAAAGCCTTGTAGTTAGTGTAAGTACTGCATGCAGTGACACCAGCTGTAAATTAAAGTACACTTGTTTTACCTACTCTTCATCAGCAGCATGCTGAACAAAGCTGATGCAAATGAGGCACCTAGCACACTGACTTGATACTGTGACAAGAGAAGGGAAATGCTGGATGACATTAACCAAAGCACTCACTTCAAAGGGACTGCAGTGGAGGCACTCACAGCAAAGCCTCCTCGGGGTCCTGTCCCAAATCCTTCACTTACTGTCTCCACATTAAACAAGTCCTTGAACCTCCTGGCAGCTGGATTTATTAGAGTAAAGCCCTAATAAATCTCCTTAACACTTTTCACTTTCTAAAACCAAGTCTTACTGGTGACCCATTGACACTGACAGCAATATTAGACGAAGTCTAATAAGGGACAGGAGTCTTACAGATAGGGCAGCCTCAATGTGACAAGTTCAAATACACACAACCCTCTGCACACACAGTTTCATACAGCACATTTCTGTGGCCTTATAGATTCTGTCTATATGAAGAATCACAGAATATCCTGAGGTGGAAGGGACTCAGAAAGATCAGGCCCAACTCTGCGCAGGACATCCTGAGAATCACACCCTGTGCCTGAGAGCATTGTCCAAACACTTCTTGAACTCTGTCAGGCTTGGTGCTGTGATCACTGCCCTGAAGAACCAGTTCCAGTGCCCAACCACCCTCTGGGTGAAGAGTCTTTTCCTGATATCCTAACTCTTTCCTGACACAACTTCAGGCTATTTCCTTGGGTCCTATCACTGGTCAGCAGAAAGATCAGTGCCTGCCCCTCCTCTTCCCCTCGTTAGGAAGTTGCAGACTGCAATGAGGTCTCCCCTCAGTCTCCTCCAGGCTGAATAGACCAAGTGACCTCAGCCACTTCTCACACTTCCCCTCAAGGCCCTTCACTATCTTTGTAGCTCTCCTTTGGTTGCTTTCTAAGAGTGTCTTAGAATGGTTAAGTCTTCCCTGACAAGTAGGAAAGCCTTACTGGGAATTTCTCACAAACCAGCAGTCAACATGTTTAACATTAGGCTGGTGTTCACCTCACCCCCATGAGCTCAGGCACTTTACAACACAATTGATGGTGACAGTTCATAAACAGGAACCCTATGGATGTCTCTCCTCAGCTGAACAGTCCCAGTTTGCTTCATATGTGTAATACTGACATCATCTTTTTCTTTCAACTTAAACATCTGTAAGCCTGCCATGTTATCTAACCAATCAGCAAAGAAATTCCAGCTGTATCTCATTTCCTCTCTTCTGGAGAAAAAGAAAAGTGACCACATCAGTCAGTTCTCAAAAACTTCAGACATGTACCTCTGACTGCTGCATCTGCTCTAGGACTGCCCAGTATACATCAAGCATAGCTTTTTTTCCCTGTTTAAATATCTTCTTACCTTTTGCAGTGTGGAATTCTACCCCCAGAGTAACACACAATTATAGTCTAGAAAAACAACTAGTTTAATGCCTTCCACCTTAGGGATTTACAACCTGGAACTCATCATGAAGGAAGTTTAGACAAACTTCTCTCACTCTGTTGAAACCTAAGAGAAATACTCACCCAGTCAGTTCACATTTTAGTGAGACACGCCGTCCATCTTCTGTGACAAACACAAAGGGAGAGAAATTAAGTATTCTCCTCTCACATGTCTAATCCACCTAATCATAGCTCCTGTCACCACAGCCAAACCTCCCTTCTCTTCTGACAGTGTCCTTCTGTGAATTGATTGACAATTCCTACTGAAGCTGGCTGCAGCTATCACATGCTACCCAAACATCTGTACCCAATGCCTCTTTGAATAACCCTCCCCTCAAAAAGTCTTCTGGACTCAAAACCGTATCCATCTCAGACATGCCAAGGAACTCTGGATTGGTTGGTTTAGTCTCACCAAACATGGAACACTGACACTCCTGAGTTAAATCCTGTTACTGGTTAAATAGTGTTGTTCAGCCATCCAGAACAGAAACAGTCAAGTCACTGCAGAGGCACTCTGAGAACTTGCTACATTTCTATCACCTTTCCCAGGTGGTTATCACCAGAGCCAGTGATTCTCTCTACTGAGACCTAGAAACCTCCCTGCAATATTAAACTTGATCACAAATTTGCCACACCTCCTAGCAGAGACCAACAAGTAAAAATCATTGATCAAGCATCACCTGACCAACTTAGTCCTATCACACTGTATTCCTTAGTTATTTCACATCAATATTTAAAACACATTTCAAAAATATTCTCTTAACATGCTCAGAGTTAAATACCAGACAGGAAGCTGCCCATGAAAGTCTTCAGTATTCCTAAGCAGAGCATCCATCCTGAATGTGTGGTTGTGATTTTTGTACCATTCAATTTGTGCAATAAAAGCAAACCCCTAATCTCCTTGAAGCCTGTGTAAGAACTCCATCTCATGTTGTTGTTCCCTTCCAACAGCAAAAGGCCAAATCTGAAGCCAGTCTGTAGCAATCACAGTGCTCACACAACACTTGCAGAGAATATGGAAATAATTATTAGGTTTGGTTCAACAACTGTACAAAGGTGGAGCTGGGATTTCTTCTTGTTTTTTCTTTGTTCCATTCATGGTAATTTTCTGTCCTCTTCCACTACAGGTTAGACCACTAGAAGATCAACATGAGGATCAGCAACACTGAAATACCTAGATTTTAGTCCAACCTTATGGAAACATCCAGTGTAATTTTCCTATTCATTTAATAAGATTAAATGAGAATAAATATTTTGCCTTTTCCCTGTTAATGGGAAAGGTAGTCCAAAAAGTTACATGCTCTCCTGATGTGGCTGTCTGAAATGTGAACAGTAGAAAGATTGCTGTATTTCAACCCTACTACAGAGCAGTGCTGCATGACTCCCACTAAATTTGTTTTTAAAAGGGATTAGGTTTCAAATAACCTGTGCTGAGGCATCTGAAACCTTTTTCAAGTACTGGGAATGCACAAGGTTTCAATACAGTCAACTGTGATTCTTCAGGAGCTGCTGAGCTGCTCTGGTCTTCTAATTCCAAAGTTTCTGTTTGCTTTCACAATCATAGGCTTAATGTTCTGTGTGCTCACCTACCTTTAATAAGCTGCACATACCAGATGGGGGTTGCAAGTACACAAAGGTGACAAGAAAGGGATTCTTACACCCTCTTGTTCACAGTCACACATGAACACCTTCAAATGTTCACCTGCTCATCTCTCTTCACAGTGGAAGTCTGAGCCACTTAGAGATGGTCTTTTGCCCCTCCTTGTTCCCACCTACACAGCAATAGCTAAAAGATCACAGGCTCTTTTTGAGCCACATTTATGTGCCCAAGTGCAGCTCTGCTTCCAGTTTATGAATTCATTTCTCACAAGGTCCTTTCCCATGCTTCATCTTTTTCCCAACATATGACATGTTGAGAGACAGATGGGGAATTTTCCTTGATACATGTAGATGACTTGTTCTCTCAACACTTCAGTGACTGAGAATCCCATGATTGGGCATTAACAGCAGCTTTTGCAAGTGTGAAATATGAATGCCACTTCTGAATCCTAACATCCACACTGTTAGGTGAGATACATATTCTAACAATACAGATTTAAGCTTGCCCTGTACTTGAAAGTGCTTTCCTGTTCAGGTTTGTAAATCCAGGGAATTTCACCCAAAAAAGGGCAAATTGATGTCCCAAGGATATTAAAATTCCTATCAGAGGACTGTTGGCACAGGGACAGACCTCATCCATTTAAAGCACAAGCTGGGCTCTGTCAGTAGACACCCAAGTACTGCATTAGCACAGACCAATCATAAGTGATACAAATCAGAGAACCAGAGAGAAACTTCAAGAGGGGCTGCCTGTGTCAGAATCTGGGGAGAGACAAGAACAATTTTTCCTGGGACACATCCTTCCCTGTTTGGATTTTTTGGAGGTGTCCACCCACTCAGGGTCACAGGCCCCTGAACACAAACACTGGCCCTTCTCCCTGAGGAACAGAACTCACCACCCCAGGCGAGGTGGTGAAAAGGCCTTTTCTCCACGGATCCTTCCCTAATACCAGTGACAGCAAAGAGACAAAAGTGAAGGAATTCCATCTCTCCCAACTTAGATCAGAGGATACCTGTCATTATAAGATAACTCTGCATCCCAAGCTACTCTTCTGTATCACCAATTACATCCTTCTCATCAGTCCCCGACTTCATGTGCCCATGGCCCATGGTTTTTTCTTCCAGGCCTCCCAGGGGATCATCAGACAGCAGTTCATTATACAGCATCCATAACATCTATTTCCCTGTCATTAATGTAAGCAGAGGCACAGTCAGCCTTCCCCTTTTGGTACCTGGTTTTGGCATCTCTCTCCTCAGTCACCTCAGCTGAGGGTGCACTGTGTATCACAAGCCAGCTCTCCATCTCTAACACTTGTTTTTCTAGCAGGCTGGTCCATTTCAGCAGCAGATAATGTGGATAACAGATGCCAATTGACTTTACCAAAAAAATATACCATCCTACAGTGCCTCCTCTTTCTCCTAATAATTCCTGAGGGTCTATTTTGGGAGTAGTAAAGGAAAAGAACAGAATATAATGAAACAGAACAGCATAAGTCAGGATAGAGACATGTTTGAATGCAGCTGTTTCTGGGTGCCCCTATAATTTTGTATTTGTCCAGATATGGATGAAACTTGTGATTCAAGTGAAACAATTGGCAGAGCTGTATGAAGGTTGCCATTTCTATACAGTCTGAAAGCCACCTGGAAATGGAGCACAATGTGCTCCTGTGAATTACCCAGACTCTGAAGAGGCAAGTGAACAATCATCCCCTGACAAAGTTACGTATGAACAACTGAGGTATGGTTATTACACCTGAAGTGCTGCCTAGAGAATGACCAACTGAACTGCTGGCCTTTTGCATAATTGCTAGTAATAGACAACCTGAGTCAAAGACAGCAGTCAGCCACAACTGGGATGCAACTAAAAATCCATAGGAAATTCAACTTGGAAGTTCAGCTTTGAGTACCTAAATC